ATCATTTTAAAAATTCTCTCTTAAATTAGTCCCCTCATCACGGCAACTACTGATGACTAAATAATGCAGCAAGATGACAATGTGAGAATTAACAAAACACCTGCCTACGTCCACGGTGTTACCAAATTCTTTATACCAGGGAAAATACAAGTACAAGAATAAACACTCAAGAGTTTTATACCCAAAATCCGAGCCCTTATCCACTAGGATACACCACTTGCACACCATCCCTCCAAACACCATGATGCATAGCATTGGAATTGGAAAGCCAAGCATACATTCATTTATACCGATGCTAACCATGTCATCATCATACAATGGATGCACAATTAATATAACATGTAAAAAATGCACAATTAACTTAGTTGTTGCGAAACCGTACGTCTTGCACTTAGGAGGGACACGACAACGAACACTTTGCACCTCAACCATTAGCTTGTTCAGGATACCCTTCTCGGTCACGGTTCTTCAAGGGCCTCATCTCGTATGTGTCCAGCACAGCAGTGGCGAAAGAAGCAACCTGCATGAACATGAGATCCAAAATTAGACTTGAACAAGGTTAGGTCTTGCTCTTTCAAAGCATGATTGCATTGGCTGTGATGTACTCAGCGTATCATAAAAGAGTATTCACATTTCCAATTTGATTTACTAAACAAATCCAAAGGAAGTTGAGGAGAACGAATCTAATAACAAAGAACAAAAGAATTTAATTTGATACAAGAATTCAAAACCCACTAGCAAGCTGCAGATGACTCTTGACCAGGGAGCTAAATCAACCTGCATGGCCTCCCTAATTTGTTTTGGAGTAGCCTCTGCACAACAAGAGGACACAAAATATGTGAAAAATTAGATAAATATAGAATATAAAATGACGAAAATGATATATATTTTACCTCTGGTAAATCATCGATTCGATATTTGATCTGAACCATTAGGCTCTTTGAGACCAACACCATCTTCCTATTCAGACCATCTTCTTCCTCTTCTCCTTGGGAATCGTATTCCTCATAAACCTGAACCATTCTAATATTCTTCTCTATGGAAGCCAAGCCAAGACCTACTTAGAAATTAGAGGAGAAAAGATGGTGGCTTTGTGTACATATTAACCCAGTCTTATGTGCTTTTATAGATGAAGTGCACTGTTCTGTATGGGTGGTTTGTGAAAACAAAGGGGCTTGAATCTGTGTGCCAATTTGGTATTATGTTGACAGGTTTGATTTTATCTGGTAAAGGGTGGTTTCGTCAAGGATCTGCTTGCTTCGCAATCTGGGCAGGGCAGATTTCCATTTTGGTTGACAGGTGCATTTTGGCCATACGTTTCCAGGTACATTATTCACCATGATTAAATATACAAAAGGAAGCAGGTGAGTCACTTATCTACTTCAACAAAAATTCTCAAAAACTTCAACAAAAATTGTATGAGAGAAATATCAGAACTATTGTCTACAGTACTATTGTATAGAACTATCAGAACTTCAACAAAAATTGCGAATTACCAGAATTATTGTATAAGAAGATGTTATGCTAATCTTTTTTTACTATTATTGTAGTAAATGACAGTACGATACGAGGGTAACAACTATGTAAAACAGTACTCGCCATGGTAATGTCAGGCATAAATTAAGAAATGTGTGTACAACAACAATTGTGTTAATTTTTGATGTGTTTAGTAATAATTGGATTACTTCAAAATTTTATTTTTTCTGGATGAAAGTACGAGGGTAACAACTACGTACGGAACTTGACAACTACGTAAGAAAGTAATAAATGTGCCTACGACAACAACGATAGCATTAATTGGCTGATGTATTCAGTAATAATTGGACAACATTAAATTACAAGGAAGGAAGATTTCTCACATACACACACACACACAAAACTATAATACCGTGGGGATTCGAACTAGAGACCTAAAAAAGCACTAAACTATCAAGTAAGTGCAATAGCGCTGTTATGCTAATAGTGGGCAACTAATAATTGTCCCTACAACAACAATTGATAGATGGCAGGATATCAAAACCTTATTAGGGCCCTTTTGATAATCATTTTAATTTTAGTTTTAATTTTTCATTTTTGTGCTAGAATATAGAGGAAAAATAAGGATAATAGAAGTAAAATTGAAATGGTTATCAAACGGTTATTTAAATAAAACAAAATAGGTAAGCCCAGCCATATACAAATAAACATTGCAAAACTACCCTAAAAATCTTTTCTAGAAAGGAAATAAAGTTAAAAAGAAAAACCCCACCTAACCTAAATTTTTTCATGTTAGGTGCATGCATAGCATCTGTGTTATTTATTTCTTAGTATCCAGTGTGATTTATTCCTTAATAGATGCATCCACGCATACCACCATTTCGAAAGTTAAAGACAATTTTGTTGTATCAAATAATTGGTTAGGTTAGCTTATATATTGGACTAGTGTTATGTTTCTACTCATTTGCACTGAAAAACTAATTAAGCATGTGCCTTGGTCACCTCAGTATCCTGTGTGTGATAACAGAAATAGTCATTCATTTTCGATTATTGTTAATGTTTTTTTATATTAAATACGCATGCATAAATATAGCTGTATATATCAAGAGATAAATACATTCGATGTTACATATACCTAACATGAAAATGGTTAGGTTAGGTTGGAAACTGATTTTGAGATAATAGATTTGCCAAAAGAAGAGTAGATCGACATAGGTCCATCAATTGTCGAAGAACAACGAAGATCCAACAGGATCCGGGGTTTTCCCGAATCTGAAGCTTTCTTTCTTTTTTAGCAGCTAGAGTTTTTTCTCTTGTGCTTTACTTACCACGTTTTGTAGATGACATTTTTTTCTTTTAATCTCCTTGGCTTTTGTTTAGTGTAGTTGGCTGCATTTAAAGTTCGCTTGTTTGTTTATTAACTTGTGCGCACTGCTTCCCTCCATTCCTTCAAAGAGGCATTTCAACTTCTTGCGTATCAATTTGACACATATGCAAAAATAATTTGTCAATAATATAAAAAGAAAAATCTATAAAGAAAATCCTATATGTCCTTTCCACCCCATTCTCACCTCACCCCAACAACAATATGAATCCCACAGTGCACATGAATTAATAAAAAGATACTGCAACTATACTGTAACAGTTACCCAGCAAATTAACAAAATGGCAAACCAAACCAATCCACTGTCTCCTCCACTACTTAAGAAAAAGCTTAGGATTTAACGAATAAGGCGACCATGCACGCGAATGACCGGTTAGTGCCGGTGCTCCGGTCCAATTACCCGGGGAAAACCCGAACTCGAAGTCGTGGCAGGCCGCCTCCAACTTCCTGAGCTCTATCCTATACGACGAATACCTATACCAACCCAACATGTGGAGCTCAAACGTCACGCCTCCATGACCTCTTACTTCTGAGATCTTTTTTGCCACGTCACCACCTACGTGGCCTGACAGGGTTTCGATTCTGAATCTGTGAGTGGTCTCGGTCTTGGTGCTCAAAGCTGGGGAGGCGCCACCGGCTTCGTTGCCAGCAAGACACTGGCTTTGGCCTGGTCGCTGTTACGGTGTCACCCGTTTCGTACAAGATCGTGGCCTGCTGCAGGCTGTGGTAGGAGACGGCGAGCTTGTGGTTGGGGGGTTGACAGCGACTAGAGTGACGTCCCACTTAAGATGAGAGAGAGAGAGAGAGAGAGAGAGAGAGAGAGAGAGCAGTGTTGTGTTGGTTGGATTATGAGCTTGCATCTAATGCGACGTCGTATGCGGAAATCCGTTGCGTTCAGTATCACATTAGAAATCTAAAAGAGCCCCCCTCCCCTTTGGAAGGAAATGGTTACCTCATATGAGGAATGTCTTTTGTTTGAGTTTCTCTATGGGAATATCTACACTTCAATGTCTGTGGCTTACTCACCCAACCTACCGTTCGTGATTTTTGCCTATTACTATGTAATAGGCAACATATATTATCCGCGGCCTTTATATATTTATCACATCGAATCTATTGTAATTCTCGATGCTAAAGTGTCTCTAGCATGCAAAAAATGCGTTGACCCCCGATGTCTAAACTTGCAACGGCATCGGTAGTTTTAATGGCTATGATGCTAAATACAATTTACAGCATCATAATTAACTAATGCATTGAAGCTTTTTCTGACTTACAACATCACAAGCAACTAGCGTTTGTTGCCACTTATATTCTACATCATTGGTTTTTTACATTATGCTGATGTTACTTCTTGTTATAAGCATCAGTTGTCATTGGAGTGCTATTGTTGTTTTAATATTTTAACTTTAGTTGTTTGGTGCAAAACTGAGGTTGTTATTTTTATTTATATAAAAACTGAGGTTGTTATAATTAATAGATATCACTTCTCTAAGGAAACTGTTGCCATGTTGCATGTTCCACATCACACTTAACTTGGTTAACGTCAGAATCTCAAAAAGGCATCACATCCAAATCATGTTGTGTTGCTATTGGACATAAAAAACACATGCATAAATTTAAATATTAGATAACTATAAAGAAACCCATTTTAGCTATAAAATCATAGAAAAACCCTATATGAAACTGACTTTATAAACACACCCTATCCTACATGAAATAGACTTTATAAATATACCATATTATTGCCAGCTATGTTTTTTGGGATTTACTTAATATCTGATTTCTGATTTTACCCTTTAATGTTGAATTCATATTAAAAAACCCAAACGAGCCATGTGAACTCCTTTGGTGTTGAATTCATATTAAAAAACTCAAAGCGAGCCATGTGAACTCTCTAACATGTTCTCTTCCCACCATTAACTCTCGACACTAAACTCCCAAGTTCCCAACCCTCTCTCTCACTCTCTCGAGTTTCAAGCCTCAAACCCTCAAAACCCCCAAATTGTCTACGATTGAACAAAACGAAATGCAAGCGGTTTCGAATTCGTACGATTGAAGAACAAATTTGAATACTCGCAACTCTCTATAAATTTCAGCTCCAAATCCAAAGTCGTTGGTTTCGGTAGCGATTTCAAATTCAATGGCCCTAAAACCGTACGTAGCTTTAGATAATGAGAAGGAGAAGCTGAAAATGGAAGAGAAGGAAGGTGTTCAGAACGCTAACAACGGTGGTGATTGCGAGAAGAATGAAGATGAAGATGATTTCTCTTTCACCTGCACCAACCCCGACAGGTCTCCAATTTCCGCCGATGATGTATTCCAAAATGGCTAGATCCATCCGGTGTTCCAGATTTTCAACCAGGACCTCCTGTTTGCCGATGCTAACGATGGTGATTCTTCTAAAGCAAGGGCCAAAGGGGTTGCTGCTTCTTCTTCCTCTTTGCGGCCGCCATTCAAGAAGCTCTTCTTCAAAGAGCGAGATACATTAACCTCGGCAACGTCGTTTTACAACTCAGGAGGTGGACTTGGGTCCTGATCCATGAGATCAACCAGCTTCTGAGTTTGATCATCAACACCTTCTACAACAACAAGGAGATCTTCTGTGAGCTCATTAGTAATGCCTCTGATGTACGTATTTTCACCTTTTTATTCTTATCCTGATTTCTCATTTCAGTATTTTCTAGTATTTATTGTATGAATCTTTGTGTTTGGCTTGTAAACATTTTAAATTCAACGATTTAGTTGTTATGCTTAGGTTAGAAATCTAAACATGTTAACTTTTTATGCTGTGGTTTATGATTGTTTCAATATTGAAGGAAACTAATTTATTTTTTCTTTAGACATTGTTACTTTTTTAATTGAAAGTGTGAGAATATTAGGGGTTTTTGACTTATTTGTTCTCTTATGGCTTAGAAACACTAGATAAGGTTTGCTGGAAACATTTTATGGAGTTTAGAGAAGAATCTAGATAAGGTTTTTTTAATCGTTTCCTTTCGTTTTAATTTTTGAAGGATAGTAGCCTCCGATCATGCTTAGGGCTACGAAATTACAGTTGTAGGGACTTTTTCGTTCCGGCAGCTACAAACGGGCTAGGTTGCCTTAAAGAGCAGATGGATGAAATTGCCCATTGAGCCTGAGTTTGAAGATCAAGCCCCAAGAATGCTTCGAAAGGACAGAGATGCCTTAGGAAACACCTTGGTTACCTTCACCAATGAAAATAACAACAGCTTACAGATGATTTCTTGATGCTTACAGATAAATTTTCTAGCTTGGCATGAAAGGCTTGTGGTATGGAAGCAAAATCAGCATGAGTTTAGCACCAAAGAGGAAAATATGGCTTCCTAGGGAGAAAGGGGAGTGTTTAAGGTGAGGAAGAAGAGGTTTGCAAGCGGATTTGGCTAAGAAGATAGAAAGAAAGAACCATGTTCTTCCGGCAACTTGTCAGATGTGCAAGTAGTCTGCCAGAAGAAGAAAATGGAGAATGAGGGTGAATAGTGCACGAGATTGCTGGGGTTTTGCAGGTAAGAGAGAAAACTTTCTCTCTATGTGTGGGTTGATTTCGTTGGGTAGAAGAGGCCTCATTTTATAGCCGCTGGAAACCATCACTTCCCAAGAAACCCTAATGGCTTCTACCCATTTTGGCCAAGCTTTTCCCTTTCTTTCTCATCTCCTCACTTGACTTTTCCGATCTTGGTGAAATTTCCTCTGCCTAGTAGAGATTTTTGGGAGCTCAAGGCCCCCTTTCCCGCAGCTGTTTCAGTGGGAGACTTCCATTCCCAGCCATCTCCTTCATTTCTTTCTTTCCTTTTTCCATGGCCAGGTCTGATAAGGAAAGGAATAGGGGTATGTATGCTGGTTCGAAGGGTGCTTCTCTTCCTGACAGCTTGCACGTTAATATCCCTTGGTTCTTCGGGTGTTTGTGCTTGGAAATTGTTCATTCCCATGTGCTGGAGCCTTCCAGCAGCTCTGCATATGTAGACATCTTGCTCCCTTCGTGGCTTTTGTTTTTTCAACAAGGGGCTGATGCTTTTGCTGCTTCTCATTTCTAATTGTATAGGCCTTCTAAGATAATGGGTTGGTTTGTCAAAAATAAATGGGCTAACCTCAATAAGTGTTGAACTATTTTTGTTGAGGTGTTGGGCTAATTTGGTTAAGCTAATGGGCTATTTCCTCTTTTGTGCTCATCCATATGTTTGGGCCTAAGAAATGGGCTTGAGTCCCTAGGCTCCCAAGCAACCCGAGACTTCCATTTCTCGGCCCATCAATGGGTCTCATGTCGATTTATTACCATCCATACCACAACCCACTCAAGCAAGCCTCGGGCATTTGAGTGGCTTGAGCCCACTTAAGCTTGTAGCGTGGCGTGTTGCTTATTTGTTTGGCGTGGCATGTGTGCAAGCGCATATGATGAACTTTCGCGTGCCCAAATCGGGTTTCTTCTCGGTAAGGTATTGCTTTGGGCCGAAAATTTATTTGGGCGAAACCATGGATTTTTTGGGCCTCAACAACAATTAACTTGAATTAATTATACGATGGTTCCATTTTGTGTCTATGATCCACCAATTGTGGGAAACAATTTATGCTAGTGCAAGTCCTTTAGGCAATGATTTAGATGATGTTCTTGTGTTTACTGGAAATATGACAGTTGTAAGACGAATATCACTATTCTTTCATAACATGTGTTTTCGATAGAGAGGAAACAGAAAATTTGAATATAGCATGGGTCCCTTTTTCACTTATTAATATTTTTGTTTAGTCGTGTTTTTTTTGGGTTAAAATTTTAGTTCCTTGATGTTGAGCAATTTAAGAGCTAGTTGGCCAATAATGCCTCTGTGGCAAATCAGAATTATATAAATATGACTGCTAGCGATACACAAACTTGCAAAGTGCAACATAAGACCAACTATATCATCTTTTGGTTTGAGTGGAGTTTTTGTTTAGGTTGGCCTGCTGTCATGCTTGCATTAGTTATGAACGAACGATTCTATTATTTCTATTGTTGTAAATTGTCTTATGGGCTGGGGCATAATTTTCATAGACTTGGCATGTTATCCTTGGATGTAAGCAAGATGTTAGGTTAAAAAATACCTTGTTTACTTTTATTAGTGATTCCAAAGTGAGAGGTAGATAAGTCTCAGCAAAAGAACAAGTTTCAAATCTTTACTCATTTTCTTGAAGTCTTTTCTGAATGCTCAAATTTTGCAGTTTTGATAAGCGTCTTGCTGCACAAAGAAAAGAGAAAGAAATGGCAATAGCCGAACTTGGGTTTAAAAAGCCATTGAATAAGGATGGGATAAAGCAATGAAATGGGCATACTTACTCAGACGATCAACTACTACAAAAATGACAAATTTCCCTTGGCAATGGGGTAATCCAACAATAAAATCCATTGAGATATCAGTCCACACCTTATCTGGTATAGGCAAGGGTTGCAATAATCCAGCAGGAGTCACAGTTTCATACTTATGTTGTTGGCAGGCGTGACATTCAGCTACCATTTTCTGCACATCATGTTTCATATCTGGCCAATAAAAACTCCAAGAAAGTCTTTGATAAGTCGTCAACAACCCAGCATGACCAGCTGTTGGAACTGAGTGATGAGCAGCAAAAACTTTGGTCCTCCAAATCGAATTAGGACTGAGGACTATTCTGGAGTTATATTTAAGGAGACCATTGTCAATGTGAAACTTGAGTAAATGATTTGTTGTAGAAAGAGATGGTGTAGGAGGTGATTGTGTAGGACCAGTGACAGCTAGAACTTGTTGTTTTTTACTAAGAATCCAAGGATCACCCTCATTGTACCGTCGTAAATCATCCATCCAACTGTGATAAGGATATGTAATTGCCAAATTCTCAATATACTACCCAGAAACATCAGTTCCAATGTGCAAGTTGTCCATGGCAAAGACTTGAACTTGGTCAGTAGAAGAGCTGTGACTGATAGGAAATCTAGACAAAGCATCAGCTGCTTTATTATCACTCCCTTGCCTATAGTGTATCTCATAATCATAGCCCAAAAGCTTGGTGACCCATTTTTGCTGAAAAGGAGTGTGAGCCTTATGATTGAGAAAATATTTAAGACTATGGTGATCTGTCTTAATGATAAAGTGTCTTCCTTGTAAGTAATGATGCCACTTCTTGATGGCATGAACAATTGCCATCATTTCCCTCTCGTAAGTGGAAAGGGCTTGGTTTCTAGGACCAAGAATCTTGCTGGTAAAAGCAATAGGCCTGCCTTCCTGTTGTACCACATCCCCTATACCAGATCCAGAAGCATTGCTCTCAATGATAAAAGGTTTTGTAAAATTCGGCAAGGAGAGAACCCTAGGAGATAACATGAGTTCCTTGAGTTTGTGAAAGGCAGCAGTAGCCTCTGGAGTCCACACAAATCCATCCTTCTTGGTTAACTGAGCCAAAGGGAAACTCTCCCTGCCATAGTGAGGAATAAATTTTCGATAATAGCCTGTGAGACCCAAAAATCCTCTCAAACTTTTAACAGAGGTAGGTACAGGCCAATTAGCAACTGCGTTTAATTTGGAAGGATCAGCTTAAACTCCTTGCCTAGAGACGATGTGGCCCAAATATTCAATAGTAGAAACTCCAAAGGCACACTTGGACATCTTGAAAAATAGTTGATGTTGCTTCAAAATTTCCAAAACAGTATGTAAATGCCTCAAATGATTTGACCATGAAGTACTGTAAACAAGAATATCATCAAAAAATACCAAGACAAACTTCCATAAACAATTTCGGAAAATCTCATTCATCAAACCTTGAAATGAGGCAGGAGCATTTGTCAAACCAAAGGGCATAACAAGGAATTCATAATGTCCCTCGTGAGTCCGAAAATCTGTTTTTTCAATACCTTCTAGATGAACTCTAATCTGATGATAGCCACTCCTCAAGTCCAATTTGGAAAAATACTGTGCCCCATGCAATTCATCCAACAAATCATCAATAAGTAGAATTGGATATTTATCTTTTATAGTTAACTCATTTAACTATCTGTAATCCATGCACATTTGCCATGTGCTATCCTTCTTCTTGACCAACAAAACAGGGAAGAAAAAGGACTATGACTGTTCCTTATAAATCCAGAGTCTAATAGCTCTTTGACACACTTTTCAATTTCTGCCTTTTGAAGTGGTCCATAAGCATATGGTCTAATGCTTGGTGGCTTACAACCAGAAATCAGTGGGATCCGATGATCATGTTCTCTCACAGGAGGTAAAGTAGTTAGGGTGCCAAAGACTGCAGAAAAAGAATCAAACAAGGCTTGCAATTCATGTTGTTGTGGTGAGGATAAATCATCTGTCGGTTTGGCCATATTTTCACATTCTACAGCACAAAGAATCACACCATAACAACCTGAATGCAACAACTTGTCCATCTGATGACAAGAAATAGGCTGTGGAGGCTGAGGCTTAGAACTGGACAAACAAATTTGCTTATTCCCATGCCAAAACTTCGTAGTTAATCTCTCAAAGTCCCACAAGATTGGACCAAGAGTTCTCAACCACTGAACCCCTAACACAATGTCACAGCCTCCCAATGGCAAAGCAAACATATCGGAGGTATATACATAAGTCCCGATGGCTAAATGAACCGCAGCACAACAACCCTTACTATGAACTTGTCCACCATCAGCTATCATGACATCACAAATATGAGACTGATCTAACTTCCAACCCAACTTCTTAACCATGCCAATATCGATGAAATTATGAGAACTTCCAGAATCTAACAATACCACAACAGGACAGTTTTTAATTACATCAATGAGTTTCATAGTCTTAATAGCAATAGAAGCCGGAGTACCATACAAAGCACAAGCTGTGATACAACAAGCATTCACCTCAACCACTTGTTCAATTTGTTGTAATTCATGAACTATTTTCTCTTCCTCAGAACTATTATAACCCATATCTAACAACAAGATTTGTTTCCTTGCACACTTATGACCCCTCACAAATTTTTCATCACAATAAAAACAAAGATTATTCTGCCGTTTATATTGGATTTCTTCAGGGGTTAATTTCCTGACAAGCATATCCTTCCTAGGAACAATTTCATTTTTAGCAGGAACTAAATCATTTTGAATGGGTAAAAGAGGCAATATTGACTTAGAAATTCCAGCATAATGTGCATACCTCAACTTCTGAAGTTTTGCATCCATTTCATGAGCAAAATTCATGGCCTCATGAACTGTAGCAGGACGAAGCAACTTGACATCATGCTTGAGTTCTTCCCTTAATCCTCCAACGAAATAGCTCAATCGAAAAGTCAGACTAAGATCACGGATTCAAGTTGCCAATCGTTGAAACTCAGCGATATAATCCTTTAAGGGACCTGCTTGACGAAGCTTAAAGAGCAACTACTCTGCAAAATCCTCAAACACATGAGAGCCAAATTCTCTGCAAAATGCCCTGGTAAAATCTTCCCATTTGGACAAAGAAGAAGCACATTTCTCCCATTGATACCATTGCAGAGCCTCACTATCCAGATGGAAAGAAACCATTTTTACCTTTTTCCCATAGGGCACTGAAAAGTAATCAAAATATTGCTCCGCCTTGTAAATCCATTCAATTGGATCATCCCCATCACTGAATCTGGGAAATTCTATTTTAACAAAGGGCATACATTTTCCCTCTCTCAGTGATGATCCCTCTCTTCGTGCCGCCAAGAGCCGTCACCATCGTCGTCATCAGATGGAGGCGGAAATGGCTGATCAAAACCTTCACGACGAAAATCAATTGAATCGAGACGTTTGTTAATGGATGCGAACTTATCCTCAAGAAGACGATGAATTGTCTCCAAAATGACTTGGTTCTTGGAATTAGAGGCTTCAAGCGCAGCAACACGAGCGTCCATTGTTAACGAACAAGTACGATCACGAGCACGGGTCATATACTAAAGGAACAGCTTAGAGGATCAATGTCTAGAATCCCGATTTCTAAACCTAGGTTTTCACCGGATTTCAAAGTGAAATTCCGGTCGGTTGCAGTCCGAATTGGACCTTCCTGTAGTTGAATAAAATGATCCTTGCCTCGAGAAGTATCTAGGATAGGAAGGGTGAGCGGTGGTGTGGAGATTTTCCATCTTCGTAAATTACTCTACACACCCACGCGCTGCCGGCGTGTGTGGCAGCGTGTGGGCAAGGGTGGCAAGGTCAAGTTTGGTGCTGTTGTAATCCTTGTGTTGTCACGAGCGTGTAGGTGTGCTCGGATTTCGATTCGGACGTCGTTTGACTATCGAACGGATTTCGCATATTGTGCGTTATCCGGGTTCAATAGGTTTTGACCTTTGGATCATTTCCAAATTAAAATATGTTGATCAGACACTCCTAGAATTGTGTAGGATTTCGCAGATCGTGAATCGGAGCCCCGAATGTTCCAATTCAATAATTCAAAGTTTCCCTTTCGGATCACATCTGCAAGACGTAATTCCTAGACCCTTAGTTGGACCTTAGGATATCTCATTCTATGTACACGCACAGGGAACTTAGGGATTTAAGTATTTAATTTGTGATTTCCATTTTGAAGATTCTATGTTAATTAAGGGTTCATATCTCAAAGTAGGTGCTCCGATTGATCGTACACAGCAGGCGGGACCCTCTCAGGGTCGGGCAGCTTGGGACTATTTGTGAGTGGACATTGTTTTCAATCATACGCATGGTTTTATTGATGAAAGATTTATGCAAATGTTTTAAATGGTATACGGGATATAATATATGTTTGGTTGTTGAATTTGATGTTCTTATAAGCTTTGGAATATATTTTGGGTTTTGACATATTTGAGTATCGTGAGTATGTTTATATGAATTTTGGGAAATTCTATCTATATTGTCTATGTGTGGGGTACTTGAGTTGTTGAGGTGAGATTGTGGAAGGATTTGAGTATGAGGGGTTGTTGAGAGAAAATGTATGATTACACTATGTAAGTACCATCCCCTTGTTACTAGGCTTCCCACACGTGGCGTTGGTAGTTCTGGCATGTGGGAAGAACATGTGATTATTAGTCTCACACGTGGTGTTGGTAGTTCCAGTTTGTGAGACAATTCCCATATGTGGCGTTGGTAGTTCTGGCGTATGAAAAGAGTATGTATATTGCTTGGAATCATCACACATGGCTTTGGAAGTTCTGGTGTGTGATGATGTAGTCTGCAGGCGTAGGACTTAGTATATAAGCTACACGTGGCGTTGGTATTTCCAGCGTGTGAGTTATGGAGTTTTGTCCCCCGGTTGGACCGCTCATCCCTAAACGCAGGATAGCACCTGGAAATCCTATGGGCTAGCCAAACAATCCCCAGTTGGATTGTTTCCCCGGTACCTAGGTAGTGTGAGAAGTATATGATATATTTATATATATATATATATATACATAGGTGTGAGTGTAATTCAATTAGAGTATATGTAGTGGGTTGGTAAGAGCAATATAAATTTTGGGGCTAAGGTTCATGGATTGAGATTTTTGGGTTCAATGGGTTTTAGAGAATAATGTTTTTGAGCATTTGATTATGAATTATGAACCTACATGTCTTGAGCATTATTTTTACACGGTGGGGTTATTATGTTGCTTTAAATGCAAACTTTGTTTTTGTCCACTCACATGTTTTCTGTTTTGCGCCCCTCAGACAGTAATTGCTCCAGGAAGGTTGCAAGCTGTGTACGAGGCTCGAACTGTGAACTTCAGTAGTTAGGATTTGAGTAATTTCTTTCTACTCAACTGTTGTTGTAAACTAAATCTGTTAGATGCTCTGTTATTGCCCATGTTAGGTTTTTACTTGAGGTCGGAGGCCATTTAGTTTGTACTGTTGTATGTTGAAAGCATGCTGCTGGTTGGGATTATATTATGTATATTATGCAGGTTGAATTTGGTTGGGTTTGTTCAATTTACAAGGGAGACTCTGCTAAAATTTTGGTAGAAAGTCTCAGTTTTTAGTAAGTGGGCCCGGCATCATGATGATGTCGGTAATAAGACGGGCCATGTCCCAGTTTTCGAGGAATTTCGGGGCGGCTCCTATCATGAAGTGCACTGTTCTGTAGGGTGGTTTGTGAAAACAAAGGGGCTTGAATCTGTGTGCCAATTTGGTATTATGTTGACAGGTTTGATTTTATCTGGTAAAGGGTTGTTTTGTCAAGGATCTGCTTGCTTCGCAATCTGGGCAGGGCAGATTTCCATTTTGGTTGACAGGTGCATTTTGGCCATACGTTTCCAGGTACATTATTCACCATGATTAAATATACAAAAGGAAGCAGGTGAGTCACTTATCTACTTCAACAAAAATTCTTAAAAACTTCAACAAAAATTGTATGAGAGAAATATCAGAATTATTGTATAGAGCTATCAGAACTTCAACAAAAATTGCGAATTACCAGAATTATTGTATAAGAAGATGTTATGCTAATTTTTTTACTATTATTGTAGTAAATGACAGTACGAGGGTAACAACTACGTAAAACAGTACTTACCATGGTAATGTCAGGCATAAATTAAGAAATGTGTGTACAACAACAATTGTGTTAATTTTTTTATGTAGTAATAATTGGATTACTTCAAAATTTTAATTTTTCTGGATGAAAGTACAAGGGTGACAACTACGTACGAAACTTGACAACTATGTAAGAAAGTAATAAATGTGCCTACGACAACAACGATAGCATTAATTGGTTGATGTATTCAGTAATAATTGTACGACATCAAAAGCTTTTTTTTTCTTTTTTTTTAGTACAAGCGATAGTCTAAATTACAAGAGAGAGAGAGAGATTTCTCACACACACACACAACTATGATACCGTGAGGATTCAAACCAGAGACCTAAAAATGCACTAAACTATCAAGTAAGTGCAATAGCATTGTCATGCTAATAGCGGGCAACTAATAATTATGCCTACAACAACAATTGATAGATGATGTGTAGTAATAATGGCAGGATATCAAAATCTTAGGGCTTTTTTGATAAACATTTCAATTTTAGTTTTTGGTTTTCATTTTTCATTTTTGTACTAGAGTATAGAGGAACAAGAGAGAGAATGGAAGTGAGAATGAGAGTGGAGATGATATTGAAAATGAAGATGAGAGGGGAGGAGGGAGGAATGAGTAACAAAAGTGAAAACCAAAACTAAAAACTGAAATCTATTTGAAATTATTTTCGCTTTCAAGTTTTTGTTTTCACTTTTGTTACTCTTCCCTCCCATCCTCTCTCTCAATCTCATCCTCTCTCTGAATCTCATCCTCACTTCCATTCTTACTCTCATTTTCCTCTATACTCTACCATAAAAATTGAAAACTAAAAACTAAAATTGAAATGGTTATCAAACGGGCCTTAACTTTTCTGGATGAACAAGATTTTATTTAAATAAAACAAAATAGGTATTCCCAGCCCTGTACAAACAAACATTGCAAAACTACCCTAAAAATCTTTTCTAGGAAGGAAATAAAGTCAAAAAGAAAAACCCCACCTAACCTAAATTTTTTCATGTTAAGTGCATGCATAGCATCTAGTGTTATTTATTTCTTAGTATGCAGTGTGATTTATTCCTTAATAGATGCCTCCACGCATACAACCATTTCGAATACACAGCATTCCTGACCTATATCCTTATTAATGAAAGTTGAAGACAACTTTGTTGTATCAAATAATTGGTTAGGTTAGCTTATATATTGGACTAGTGTTATGTTTCTAGTCATCTGCACTGAAAAACAAATTAAGCATATGTGCCTTGGTTACCTCAGTTTTAGCAACTACGAAGTTTAAATCCCTTCTACCCAGTATCCTGTGTGATAACATAAATAGTCATTCATTTTCGATTATTGTTCATGTTTTTTTAATTAAATATGCATGCATAAATAGCTGTATATATTAAGAGATAAATATCATTGGACGTTACATATACCTAACATGAAAATGGTTAGGTTAGGTTGGGTTATGAGTTTGAGACAATAGATCTATCAAAAGAAGAGTAGATTGACATAGATCCACTAAATATCGAAAAACAGCGAACATCCAATGGGATTCAGGATTTCCTCGGATTTGAAGAGCTTTCTCTCTCTCTTAGCGGCTAGAGTTCTTCTCTTGTGCTCTACTTACCACTTTTTGTAGAGGACTATTTTATTTATTTATTTATTTTTTAATGTGCTTGGCTTTTGTTTAGTTTAGTTGGCTACATTTAATTGTGAACCTACTAGTATGACGTGTTTAATCATGACCGACAAGGGATTGTTCAAGGAAAGTTTATTAATTACCATATATTTAATTATGAATTAACTTATATGACAGTATGTTATAATTGAAAAGCTTTCCGTTTTAATGCATAAACTGGAATGCATGTTGATAGTTGTTTTGGCTAAGTTATGTTTTTTTTAGCTTTTCTTGACAAACATATAAATTTGACTGTAATGTAATTCTTTCAATCAAGCTCAAGAAGTTAGACCAGTCTAGGATGGGTTAGTGCTAAGTTGACGACTGTGGCTCTGACATACTTCATAATGACTCGATGCAATCAAAGCTCATTGCAAATAATTCATTCATGATTGCATTGTATGAATCATAGCGTTCTCATGTACGACTAGCCAAGCTTTATCAATCTTATCTTTTTATATGACTAGTCATCACGTGTTATTGCCACATCATTATTTTTTTAATGCGAGTTTCATTCTTAGCCTGTTGTAGCCTTTCTTATTTTATTTTAGCTTTCTAAAGTTTGCTTGTTTGTTTATTAACTTGTGCGAGTTACTTTCCTCTATCCCTTAAAAGAGGCATTTCTACTTCTTGTATATCAGTTTGACAAATATGCAAAAATAATTTGTCAAAACTATAAAAATAAAAATAAAATCTCTACAGATGTCAAATTATGATGGATAAAAAAATGAGTTCCTACTTTCAGGAATTGACGCAAATATTTTCCATAACTTGTGAACCATATCCTTTCTACCCATTCTCACCTCACCCCAACAACAATATGAGTACCATATTTTTCAATGAACGTGGAAAAGTTACTCCTTCATATTAAATCACGTTACATAATAAGCTTCTTTGTAACCACATGCGTTAAATCAACATGGGGTCTTCGGGTTTTATTTTGGCCTCCCTGACAATGCTGCGGACTAGCAAGAAGACTAACTCGAGGATACGAATCGGGACGCCACAGCAGATGATGACGAATACTGACAACTCCCACCAATGCTCCCACCAATGCTTAAATGCTTGGTTGTTTGGGTTGTTGTTTTGGCCGGCATTATCATCACACACAGAGAGCAGTGTTGGTTGGATTTATGAGGTTGCATCTAATGCGACGTCGTATGGGGAAATCCGTTAGGTTCAATATAACATTAGAAAGCTAAAAGAGCCCCCTCCCCTTTGGAAGGAAATGGTTACATGCATACTCAGATTTAAAAGGAGGAGAAAAAGCCTTGTCTCGGACAAGCCAGTTTCAATATTTAAAAAAAAGTGTTATTGTGTGTATTAAAAATAGTGGTATCTATAATATGGACTTAGGCGTGTGTTGGTTTGACTCAGTGCCTTTTTGGGCTGAAGCAGTTTTGGTTAATGATAGGATTGGGGTCTCTAGACCCCGTTTAGTTCCTGCTGTGTAGTTTCTGTTTGGGGTTTTTCCCCCGTGTGTAATAAAAAAAAATATATAGTAATTACAAATGAGTTGATATAGTAATGGCAAAAGAAGTAATTACATTATTTAATAAATAATAACAATAAAAATTATCCCATCTATTCCTTGTTCTGATATCTTTTAAATTTCTCGAGCAATAACTGCCTCACATGCATAGCATGTGTGAGAGCATCCACAATCGGAGAGTGTATAAGAGGGTGTATGCTAAATATACATCATTTGTCGCCAGAATCATCTTCAATGGGAAGATGTAAATGGTTGTAAAAATACAACCCCACCATGGAGATGTAAAATTATATGCACATTTGCATCTTTTTTTACATCCTGAAATTTACAGGCGGGACCTACAAGAGAAAAAGGGAAAGAGAATGATTGGAATTCAAAATGGAAGGCCTAGATTTCATGCAATTTGCATTGCACTTCCAATGGCCCAGATTTTTACATAGATATTTTTATGTTAGTTTGTAGGTAAAATGGTAAAGATACGTGTACTTGATGTCCCGCCCAAGAAAGAGAACCAAGGCCTAGTAGCCCTGCTAAATGGTGATTCAACATAGATTATACATCTTGGAACCAAGCCAACTTAGGAGCAGCTTTGTGATAATGGAACCAACCTGCAAAAAGCATTAAGGCAGCAAAGACCAATGCACCAATTGCAGTACAATAGAGTTGTAATTCACTAGTTATTCCAGATGCTCGCCAAATCTGAAAAAACCCAGAGGTTATTTGTATTCCTCCGAAACCCCCGCCGACATCACCATTCAATAGTTCTTGACCCACTATTGGCCAAACCACCTGGGCACTTGTTCTCCAAATTTAAATTTTTTAAGGTCCATTTATTTGGAAAAATAAAATAAATATAACACGCACAAAATTAATTTTAAAAAGTTAAAACATACAAAAAAAACACACACACACACACACAAAAAAATTATCACAAACAAATCGAATATGCATATTTGGATTTAAATCGTTTCCCATTAGAGTAAAAAATGTATTTACACCATCTGGATGTGTAAAGGAGATGTAAAAGTGACTTTACACCCCGAAAATACACCCCCTACTGTGGATGCTCTGACTGTACTAGTCTTAATAATGCAGCCAATGTGTAAGCAGCGTGCACAGCATGCATGTGACTGTACTAGTCTTAATAATGCAGCCAATGTGTGTCACATTCACTTTTAGAACGCTATACTAGTTTAGGGAGTACTTCAACAATTTGGATTAGTTGATGTTTTCTTGATCAGCTGTGGATATTGTAAATATTCTTTGGTATGCCAAACCTCAGGCTTGGAACCTCCTCATTCGATATTCTTTTTTGCATGAGAAAGAGAATTAAGAATAATAACAATAAAACACAGCCAGTATTACCTTGGAACAAAGCTTACAATACTCAATCAAGCAACATAAAAAACCAATGCACAACTTCAAATTCAAACTACCTTCAAGATGAAGAGCATGACAGCGATTCAAACTGGACAGGACCAAATTTCTCCTACTCGACTCCTTAGATGTCATACAACAACTCGGGAAATGATTTCATGTGCTCAGATTGCAGAGTAATAATCAGCGACAAACTCCCATCATTAGTTGCACTTGGCAATAACAATGCCATCCCATCCCATGGATATGCACGACCAGGCCCCATGAAAATGGGTCGACCCCAACCAAAATCAGCATCATGAATCGGCAGCCTCATCCAAGTGTTTATTTGAAGATGCGGGCTCCAAATCGGACGAGGCCCAACAGGAGGTTGGGAAAGACAAGGAGTTTGAAGCTCAAGATCAAGATAGTCAAGGGCTGATCTAAGATAATTGTTGTCCATCCGCGCCAAAGCATTGTGAATACAACTTGCAGCATACCACGTTGGTTTCGACTGGATATCCCCTGCTGCAGCAATGTGCGCAGTTCTAAAAGAGACATTACCGAAGAAACCAGCCGGGAGTGGGGGTTGCAATCTGGACCGTCCATCAGTGGGAATGCGTAGTTTGGTGTTTTGATCATCAGGAAGTTTACGTGCCTTGCAAACACATCTCCAAATGTGACCTGCCAACATCTCAAATGTGGTAAAGTTGATTGGATTACTATTGTTCCCAGCATCTTCCTTAGAATTGGATTTCAAGATGTTGAGCTGCTCCCGCGTCAATCTAAAACTGGACGCAGTAACTTTAGTAGTTTTTTGCAGATCATAAACTAATTCCTTTTCTGCACTAGTTTCGAATTCAGTGTGGTGGAATGCAGGCTGAGGTGGGTTTCGGGCACGAAGTAAGGTCCTGTCCATGAAGGGTGGATTAATCTTTGCGACCTCACCACAAGCAATAGCAGACCATGTATTCACGAAGTGGAGAGCAGAAAATCCATCTGCTACGCGGTGGTCCATGGAAACACCAAGTGACGCTCCACCACATTTGAAGTACGTGACCTGAATATATATGTAGACAGTAAAATCCAGAATCATATAGATTATAATATATATGTAGTTTGTTTCTATTTAGAATCCCTCAAATAATTTCAAATAATTTTATTTGGTAGACAACTTGTAAGTCCTCGACCAATTTTATTTTAACGATCCAAACCGTGTATTTTATCGAGTTTTCATTCCTAGATAATTGAAAACTATTAAGACATCTAGTTATGACCAATTTAATAGACCAGTACGGTACTTCAAAAAAACACTAAAGTGACAACCATCAATTATGATGGGATGAACAATAATATAATTAGTAATATATAAGTCCTAAAAGAATCGAAAATTTTGAAGTTCCATTCAAACTTTCTGCTGAATATTCAATGTTTTATGTGGCTTAAGGTTTGAAGGTGAAAACTCTCTAAAACATTGTTGTTATCATCTCACAAATCATTTCCAAACTCAATTTCAACCGTCCACAAACAGCTTGCCATTCATTCTGAACAATTACAAATGCCACGCCTTCACTTCAATATTCAATAATTCTACTCATGGAACTTGGATGATAATTATTAAATACCTGTAACGCAAAAATGGGAAATGAGGATATCCCACCAGCGTAATCAACACCGGGGATGAGCTCACGAAGATTGGGGTTTAGCACAAAATCACCAAAATCATCAATGGCAGAGATGCTCTCCGCTACAACAAAGAGCACTCCCTCCGCATTGCAATCAATCTCCATCCGGCCATTCTGGTCGTTGAGCTTGTAGCGACCGGCCATGGGGTAGAAGAGCACAAGGGCCTTGCTGAGGGCTTGCTTGAGCACTACTAGGTCAAAGAAGTTCTCGTCACCGCTTGATCTGTAAAAGTAAACATTTGACGTGTGATAGGGCGAATATTGTAGGTCCAAGTTGGAGAGCCACAGCGAGCCTCGGGGCGTCGACTCCTCTGCTGGCTTCACCATCGTGGACTCTTTTATGCTCACTGTCACCTTCTCCGCCATCTTTTCTTCTTCTTCTGTTTCTTTCTTTTTGTTTTAATGAGAAAAGAAAATTAAAACTTCTTTCTTGTGATTACAACTTACAACGCGAACCCACGAGTACAACTAGAACTACATGGAGCAAAAGTGAACGTCGAAACTGAGGAAGGGAGAGTATGAAATCCAAAAATTAGAAGGATCTCTGACTAGCATGTAGCATTTAATTTCTCAAACAGTTGAGATATTTCAAACCCAACAAACAACAACTTGCGAAAAGCTGTGGCTGTCCAACAATATGTACAACATTAATTTAATGGTCCCGAGAGATAGTTCTTGGTCCAGGCTAACCTAAGTTGAATTTAATGGTCCTGATGATGGACCACAGTACCCAGTGGCGGATCTATGAATTTTTCAGGGAAGGGGCAATGTTAAAAGACTAAAACATCCGAAAAAATAATAATAATAACCAAATAGCCTTACAATTTAAACAACACTAATATTATCCATAATTAAAATAAATAAGAGTTTTACGTCTAAGCCTAATTGACTATAATCTATTTTCTATATAAATTAAATGCACAAAATTCATGTTACACAATTATTTACCAAAATTAATATCAAATATGAACAAAATGCATGTCAATTACACAATTAGTCTATCAAAATTCATATGAAATCATCCATTAATCTAACAAAAATCATCCATTAGAGCACAAGGGCCTTGTTGAATTTAATGGTCCTGATGATGGACCACAGTACCTACGTCCAGACTAGCTTGAGCTGTATCCTAGGTGACTTTGTTTTGTAGACTAACCCCACACACAAATAAAATCTCATTAACAAACCTACACCACATATCTAACTAATAAAAATAAAAATAAAAAATAAAAACTAACCCCGGATGGGTTTAGAGGCCCAGACATTTGTGAACCAATTGCAGGAATAAATTTATAGATTAAAGATTAATTGCTAATAATGGTGATTTAATCTAGGAAAAAAATTGGTTTTAATTGGTTTAAATCTAAACGCAACTTCTAAGTCTCTCCATGGGTTCAAAATTTGATCATCACCGTTGATCACAATTTCAGAGATCAAGTCAGTAGATTCTTGGGGAAGATCTTTTTCTATAAAAAAAACCCACGTGAGTCTAAAAGTCAAAATTTCAACAGGGTAGAGGATGTGATCGAGAGTTGGTAGAAGGTTTAATCGGAAAACCACTCCCCATAACCATTTAATGCCATAAAAGAAGGCCAAGTTTCTTTCCTATGCTAGTGAGGGCTTTGCATCAGGGCAAGTGGGGTTACAAGAGATAAGAAAGTTAGTTGACAGGAGATCAAAACTTATCAGCATGAAAGCTAACCTTTGATGGAGGTTTTCTTTTGTCAGATTAAACCACTATCCCTTTTTTATGCTGGAACAAGGAATCCTTTCAAACCTTTTGTCCTCCAGATATTAAGGAATAGTCCCTCATTTAGATTATCTATAAATGTAAAAGGAGGCGAACAAGATTAGAAACAGCCAAAAATTCTCAAGTCATATTGACAAACTCAAACAAGATCATACTATCTCAAAAGCCTTCAGATTCTGAACCAATCAAGCTCTTGGATTTATAAAAGACATCCAGTCTCTGACAGAACAAGCAAAACTTAGGTTTCTAATTTCAGTTCACAAAGAGGACGAGATTTCTCTCGTTACAAATTTGATTAAGTATAGGCGAATCAAGCAGAACTCAAGTTTTTCATAATATGAAAATCTCAACAAATTTATAGAGATGCCTTGATCTCTCAGAATTGCCAGAATAGCTCTTGGATAATTCATAATCAAGTAGAACAGGTACTGAAGTACAGCCCCAAATCAGCAATCGTCAATCCAGCCACTTCCAGACCCATCCAGACTAAAGAGATCTCAAATCTGCCCATTCAGCAAGCCTATCTATGGCCCAAAATTGATTAAAGCTTTGCCAATCTCAACACTGGTATCGATTTCTAGCTGAACCTCATCAGTTGAAGGTGCTGATGTTTGAATTCAGCACAGATACACCCAATCCAGCCTAAATCGCAGGCAACAATCCAAGCAGAAATCGAAGCCCAATGTTTTGTTGTCCTTCCAAACGTGGCAGTTCCCTTTTGTTTTAAATTGTGTAATAGAAAGTTATCTTTAAAACAGTTTGATTTATTTTCAATATTCATTTTGGCAAGAACAACTAGTTTTTACTGTGAGAAATTGTGAAGTCCTCACCAGTCTGAGGCAAGAAAAGAACTTACTTGGAAAATATTCCTCACCCAAATTCACAATCACTTGTTTAAAGTCAGTAACTTGGGGGGCAAGTTATCTATTTTTCATAAGTCTGTTAGGGTTTTGACTGCTAACAGTGGTAGGCTTGCACACCAAAGAAAGTTGATTTGTTGACCACAAATAGTTTTTAAGTCAATGGGGAATTTTACCCTACCACCACAAGAACTAAATCTAAACGGGTGAACATATTCATTCTCTCTTGTTTTTTCATTCTCTCTTGCTCAATGGCATTGGATGCTGGCATGGCTTTCATGGCAGATTTATTGTACCTTTCAGGAGGCATGGAAAATAGAAGCATGGCCAGGTGGGCTACAAAGGGTGAACACTGTGACTTGGCAACTTGTCCTACCACAAAAGGGCATCGTGGTTGATGGTTGTCCAGTGAACTAAAATATATACCCGTATCTCCAGTTACATGTGATTTCATTTTTAAAATTGCAGTACAGAATTAGCAAGTATTAGAACTGAATCTGACAAAGAAGAAGAGGTTTTAGTTGTCTCATAATTAATGAGATAAAACATGATTCATTAACTTGCTAATTTTTATACAAATGCAGAAACAATATACATAAACATGTTACCTCCACGGATCCTATTTCCAAACATGTCAAATTTTAGTCTAAAATAAGAACCGAAGAAGAAAAATTACAAAACCAAATACGTGATCATAATTATGTCCTAAATAAATTATTAGTTACCAGATTTGTTTATCTCGATAGATATGATGCAGAGTGTAACTTGATAGTTGAGAAAGCAACTGCAAAATATCTCTTATGGATATCTTCTTCCAATGTATACTACATTTCCTCTTATCATTTGGATAAGTAGTTTAGAATCTCCTTCAATCTCCAGATTTAAAAAAAAAATTTGAAGTCAAAAATAGCCCATTGAATCGCTTGTTGTAGCTAGAGCAAATGCGTTGACGTGCAAAACAGATGTTGTACCAATAGGAAAGGTATCAGGGAAATATATAGCAATACCATAAGAATTTCAGATAACAAAACATGTAGTAGCATTGCCATTAGAAAGAACTGTGCCATCAAAATTAATTTTATAACAATTTGTAGGAGAATTCCATCCATAACTCTGAGAATTTTGAATTTCCATTATTAATTTGAACGACATGAAAAAACAAGAGACCCAATGGGTGACTGTTCCGATTTCCCCATAGTCTCCAGTAGCACACCCGAGACAACGATGGGTTTTCTGCCTTTGCAGGTGTGGACTGATTATGAACTTTAGCTTCTAAGAATATCACAAGCAGCTTACCAATACCCAATCCCATAAACAAGATAGCAATACAGATTAGTTTGGCTTACACAAATGTGTTTTACTCTATAACATTCAAAAGACTCACATAAGAAAAATATTAGGGGAATGCCAACCTTCTCTCCAACCCTCTCTTTTGGACTTTCTCCCTTTTCCTCATGGCATCTGTCACTTCCCATACACTTTTTATTTATTTAGAAATTCATTGAAAGAATCAAGGTACATAAACGACACGATACAGTGGCCTCATTAAAACATTCTTAGGGAACAAACCCCACAATAAGAAAGAGTACCACACATGTCATGGACTAACAAGAAAGTCCGAAATAGACACTTAGGACCAGGACAATAATCAAAACAAAAAACACTAACACAGAGACCTCCAACGAGAACACTACACAATCCGATTGTCAAAAGAGTCCTGCTATGAGATCATAGTCCTTTGCACAACTACTAGATGGTGAGAAAACCCGACGGAGAACACACCAAAGCCAAAAGAGAAAAGATGCCCTTGATACACACCAGCTTTAGTCACCTCTGTTAGAGATGTAAACTTTAAAGCTATAATAACTTGAACACTAACCTTGTTCTGCCATTGAAACCTTTTATCGAACACTTGGGAGACAACTCTTCACTAAGAAAACCGACTGCCTTATTCTCATATTCCAGATGGGGTGAATCACTTGATGAGATTTTGTGTGTGTCGGCTCTTAGAGGGAGCTGCTCTATTTATATGCATCACTCAAGGAGTCTTGCCCATCAAGGGACTCCTTGAGGTATCCTTATTGCTATAGAACTGTTAATCCTAATTCTCATAGAACTAGAAACCCCTTTAGCCTTGTAATCCATATGGAACACTGACACAGAGGCTGCAGGTCAAGAGTTGTGTTGAGTCCTTGATCAGTCTTGAGTCTTGCAATCCGATAATGAATAGAAGACCAATTCTGTAAGGATTGGGATAATAAACTATCTTACATTCTCCCACTTGGTCTAATATTCATTGTGACTCAAGAGCAATCCCTTAATGGCCAATTTAGAACTCAACCTTCTCAGTTTCTTACCAAGCCATTGTCATTGATATAAACTCATATGGAACTGTCAAAGAACATTGAGCAACCAAACTCAAGTCTTTTACAACCACACATACAAATGTACATCAACACATGCGACTGCCAACTGAATTAGTATAAAAACAATGTTGCGATCTGCCTTAGAAAAACTTAATGATCAAAACAAGCTTAGCTCACCCTTACAAGACTACCAAGGTCTTAATAAACTTGCATGGCTCCTTCATGGATACGAAAATGCAAAACACATATGCTAGCAAAAATTATGCAGATTCTTCCTTCATCCACATGCCAAAACATTCATAAGAAAAATATTATTAAATAAACTGTAAAACAATCTCGATTAAAACTAGTTAAAAGAAAATAAAACTAAATCTGGCTCCCACTGACTCCCACAGAGTTCAAGCATCAAAACTGATCTGTAAACCCATACTTTTAACATGCCTATGAAAAACATGATTAGGCAAGCCTTTGTTCAGGGGATCTGCAATGTTGAAATCTGTTCCAATATGATCTAAGGCTGTATAACCATCTCTGATCTTTTCCTTGGCTGATAAAAACTTTAACTACAGGTGTCTTAATCCTCCTGACCTCTTATTTCCTTTTGCAAAATAAATTGCAGCACTGTTGTCATTCCACAATTGGATTGGCCTTTGTATAGAATCCACGACTTTTAACATTGACATAAAAATTTTAAGCCACATAGCTATTGAGGTCGCTTCATAAATTGCTAAAAACTCAGCCTACACAGTTGAGGTTGATATGTATTATTGTTTGACACTTCTCCAAGCCACTACTCCTCTTGCAAACAAAAACACAACACCTGATGTACTCTTTTGTGTATCCAAACAGCCAGCAAAATCTGCATTTGCATATCCTTCCAGTTTCAATTCTTCAACTCTTCGATAGATTAGCTTATATTCTTTAGTTCTCTGCAAATACCTCAAAACTTTCTTGCCTGCTATCCAATGTGCCTGACCCGGATTGGATTGAAATCTTCCAAGAACACTAATGCTGAAAGCAAGGTCTGGCCTTGTGCAAACTTGAGCATACATCAAGCTTCCAACAAGTGAGGCATAGGGCTTGTCCTGCATCTCCAACTTCTCTTGCTCAGTTTTGGGAGGTTGTTCACTGCTCAATTTATCACCCTTCGAGAATGGAACATCACAACCTGTGCAGTTTTCCATGTTGAACCTTTTCAGTATCCTTTCTATATATCCCTTCTGTGATAGACTAAGTAACCCCATGTCTCTATCTCGGCTTATTTCAATTCCTAACACATAGTTTGCTTCTCCCAAATCAGTCATCTAAAAATGGTTTGATAGCATTCTCTTAGTGTCATGTAGTAATGACAGATTACTGCTTGCTAAGAGAATATCATCAACATACAACAACATGAAAATGTAATGTCTCCCTTGAAATTTTTGGTAAATGCACTCATCTAAAGGATTGTCAATGAAACCTTGAGACTTCACCACTTCATCAAACTTCAAGTACCACTTCCTAGAAGCCTGTTTTAATCCGTAGATTGATTTTTGTAACCTGCAAACCAAATCTTCTTCCCCTTTTTGAATGAAACCATCCGGTTGTTTCATGTAGATTTCTTCAATAAGGTTTCCATTCAAAATGTAGTTTGAACATCCATTTGATGAAGGTGAAGATCAAAATGTGCCACTAATGCCATTATAACCCTTAAGGAATCCTTGGTTGACACAGGTGAGAAAGTTTCATTGTAATCCACTCCTTCTTGTTGTGTGAACCCTTTTGCTACTAGTTGTGCCTTGTATCTGTCTATTTGTCCCTTTGTGTTTCTTTTGGTCTTGTAAACCCACTTGCATCCTATTGGTTTACATCCTTGAGGTAAATCAACAAGCTTCCATACATCGTTCTTGCTTATTGATTGGAGTTCAGACTCCACTGCCTCTATCCACTTATCACAGTTGTCACTTTGAATGGCCTGATTATAAGACAGATGATCTTCTGTGGTATTGATGTCATGTTCTGACTCTTACAGGTAGACATAATAATCATTTGATAGAGCAGGTCTTTTAGTTCTTTGTGACCTTCTCAGTTCTGAGTTGTGAGGCTGTTGTTCTTGTTGATCTATCTGCATATTTTCTGGTGGATTTTGTGGAACTTCAGTTGTTAGATCATGATTTGGTGAGACTTGCTTGTCATTCAAATCAGTGAATGGTAAGATGGTTGTATCTCTCAGCATATTTTCCTTTTCAGCAGGTTCTTTGTTTTCCAAAATTTCATCAAAATCAAAGTTTTCCTCAGTGTCTGATTCAATTTCATCTTCAATAAGATGTGAGACAATAGAACCTGTACCCCTTTGTTCTATCCGGATATCCAATGAAAAAACAGCTCAATGTCTTGGAATCTAGTTTCCTTTCTGATGGATTATAGAACTTTGCTTTTGCCTTACTTCCCCAGACTTTAAGATGTGAGAGACTAGGCTTTCTATTGCACCATGTTTCATAAGGAATTTTGTCTGCACTTTTGGTAGGAATTTGGTTTAGAAAATAATTTGCAGTTTTTAAAGCCTCTCCCCAAAGAAATTTTGGAAGCCTTGTGCAGCACATTAGGCTCCTAATCGTCTCAATCAAGGTCCTATTTCGTCTCTCTGCCACTCCGTTTTGTTGTGGTGTGCCTGGGTTAGTGCATTGAGCCAACCTTCTTCTTGTAGAAATTTGGCAAAAGGTCCAGGGTTCCTTCGTCTCTCATCAAATTTACCATAAAATTATCCTCCTCTATCCGACCTTACTACTTTGATTTTTGAATCCAACTGGTTTTCCACTTCTGCTTTATAGACTTTAAACATGTCCAGTGCATTGGATTTTTCAAATATTAAGTACACATAACCATATCGAGAGTAATCATCTGTGAAGGTTATGAAATACTTAAAACCATCATGTGTTTGAGTGGGAAAAGGACCATAAATGTCTGTATGTATGATTTCCAGCACTTTTTCACTTCTTGTAGCACCTTTCTTTCTCAAATTTATCAATTTCCCTTTAACACATTCCATGCAAACACTGTCTTTGTCATGGTGGTTAAGTGGTGGCAACATATTTTCTTTGTTAAGCAAATTCATTCTTTCAGCTGAGACATGTCCTAGTCTCTTGTGCCAAAGTTTATAAGATTCTTCTTTTTTTGCTTTTCTCTTAGTGTTTATCACATTGATGCTCAAATTTCCAGTGCTGGGATTTGGTTTCTTGCAGTTTAATCGAAACATTCCATCATTTAGAAAACCATTGCCAATCATAACTTTATTTCTGAAAATGGAGAATCCAGACTCATCAAACTCAAACTGTAAGTTTGACTTTACAAGCTTGCTAACTGAAATAAGATTCCTTTTCATAGAAGGAATATAAACTACATCTACTAATTCCAAAACAAAACCATATTCTAACTCAATCCTAGCTAATCTAATGTACTCCACCTTGAATCTTTCTCCAGTTCCCACGAACACCTTCATCTCAACCTTGCTTGGCAGCTTTTTTGTTTTGAACCCCTGCAAACAATTAGCTACATGAACTGTTGCACCACTATCCAACCATCATGAATATGAAGAAATCTCAATTGCATTAGACTCAAAACAAACATTTACTTGACCAGACTTACCTTTAGTCTTCTGTTTATCTAGCCAACGTTTGTATATGTGTTTATCTAGCCAGCGTTTGTATCTGTCACAATTCCTCTTCATATGACCATATTTCTTGCAGAAGTAACACTTGAAACCTTCTGGTTCTAACCCCTTATTTTCCTTTTCTTCCTTGTTTTTCTTCCAAGCAATTTTTCCCTTTCCAAAATCCTTTTTGGGTTTGAAGTTGTGAACCATGTTAACTCTTTCTTCAGCCTTATCTTTCTTCATATTTTGTTCTTCCTGCACACAGATGCTTATGAGGTCAGTTACTGTCCACTTCTCCTTTTGAGCTACATATGTGCTTCTAAGATGCTTGAAAGTACTAGGCAGAGAGTTTATAGCAAAATGTACCATCATAGTTTCATTCACATTGACTTTGAGTGCCTTCAGTTTGTTCCCAATTTCCAGCATGTTCAGTATATGTGTTCTCACACATCTTTCCCCATTGTATTTTGTATCAGTAAGCTGTCCCATTAGAGTTCCAATCTCAGCCTTTTCTGATTCCCGAAACTTTTCCCCAATGGAATCAATAAACTTCTTGGCATTATCAGATGATGTAATGCTTCCCCTGATAGATGGTGAAATTAACCTTCTCATGATTAAAATAGCCATTTTGTTTGCCTGAACCCATTTGGCATATTTTGCTTTTGCTCCAGCAGATGCATCTGCATCAGGTTCTGCAGGAGCATCTTCTTCAATAGCCATCTCATAGTCCAACAATCCTAGAGCAATTCCACATCTTTCCTCCATTTGGTGTAGTTGGAGCCAATGAGAGTTTCAATCGAGTTGTGATTAACTGAAAAAACACATAGTATATATATGTTTAAAAACTGAAAACCCCAGAACTTTAAAACATGATTGATCCTCACCTTTAGGTGAATAAATCAAAACATATTTATCAACACTAAGACATGAAAATCACATAAGCTTCCTGTACAAGGAAGGTTCCACATCTTTGGACAAAAGAACAACCTTGATAGCCTACGTGTTTCATCTCTTATGTTGTTCTGCTGAAAATAATTGCACGATAAATCATTCACATCTTTGGACAGTGAATCATTCATTATGCCTTTATTTTCAACACAAGTTTGATCATAAAACTTTGAATGTACAGATCTTGTTGTGTCTGAGTTGCTTTGATCAATTTCTGTTTGTCACAGCAAGGTGTAACTCTTGCTGTGTCAAGTTTCTTTAACCTTGAAAACTTAATTTTCCTTCAATTTTCAAGTTCTAAATGCTGCAACAAAATTGGTTAGGTAGAAGATAAAATAACTTATGCTCTGATACCACATGTAAACTTTAAAGCTATAATAACTTGAACACTGACCTTGTTCTGCCATTGAAACCTTTTATCGAAAACTTGGGAGACAACTCTTCACTAAGAAAACCGACTGCCTTATTCTCATATTCCAAATGGGGTGAATCACTTGATGAGATTTTGTGTGTGTCGGCTCTTAGAGGGAGCTGCTCAATTTATATGCATCACTCAAGGAGTCTTGCCCATCAAGGGACTCCTTGAGGTATCATTATTGCTATAGAACTGTTAATCCTAATTCTCATAGAACTAGAAACCCCTTTAGCCTTGTAATCCATATGGAACACTGACACAGAGGCTGCAGGTCAAGAGTTGTGTTGAGTCCTTGATCAGTCTTCAGTCTTGCAATCCGATAATGAATAGAAGACCAATTCTGTAAGGATTGGGATAATAAACTATCTTACAAGAGAAACATAGAGCTTCGAATGGCACTGAGAATAGAGTAGTTTGCAAGGAGCATCACAATTAAAAGACAAAACATAACGAGCAAGCTAAGATTAGAAGAAAGCAAAAAAGATAATCAAAGCCATACTGTATCATCCCAGAACTGACAAGGAAACCTCCTATGAAACCATAGTCCTGAAGACAGGAAAACTCTTATGGGGTCATAGTCTTATAGAAAGGCGAAGAATCAAAGATATGTCGAAAGGAGAACTGAGAAAAACCCCACGCAACAAGGGACAAAACTAGATGTGGCCACTTAACCTAGAACTAGATACCAAGTGAAAGAGTATTCGTCAGATGCCAAACCCACAAATGCTCCAGCAACACATTAGGGAAGGTCCCCTGTTTTTGGTCTACCACGACCCCTCCTCCATGTACACTTAAAACAATGATATTAATACATCAAACAACCCACCTTTTGTTTTCCAAGTTTAACCTTATTAAATTTATTGTCTTTCAATTTATCCCTTTTTTTTTACAACTATCTTACCATATGTTAAGAATTAAAAGTTTTCATTTTTCATTTATTTAAACAAAATGCCTATTTTTTAAGAGGAAAAAAAAGACACAAGAATGACCTCAAAAAAAATCCACAAGAGAAATATCATTTTTTTATACAGACAAAAGACGTCATTCTAAGAGCATATCCAACCGATATGTCAAATTGCCACATGGACATTAAAGAAAAGAAAAGAAAAACTAAATTTTTTTTCTTATTTAATTTTTTAACAAGGTGATAAGAAAGGAGTAAAAAATTTGAATAATAAATTTAAGGAAGGATTAAAATTAATACATTTAATAAGGGTAAATTTAGAAACAAATGTTAGCTTGTTTGATGCATTAATTACATTCTTAAGTGTGAGAAAAATGACACTTGTCATGAGGAAAAGGGAGAAAGTCCAAAAGAGAAGATTGGAAAGAAGGTTGCCAGCATTCCCCTAAAATTAACCGAGTACACCCTACTACAAAACTATTTATTGAATTACTAATTTACCATAATATAAATGACCAAAGAGGATATATTGAATCATGAAACACCGTCGTCGTCTCCTCCAATGGACATAGCAAAGCCTCCTTCATAAAATCATCTCCTCCACCGTCACACCAACACTGTCATCATACCATCTGCTTCTCTACCATTACAGCAACATCGTCGTCGTACCATTATACTGGCGTCGTGATCGTCTGGTATTGGTAAATCTCAGTTTGATTTTGTTATCAAATGCGTTATACTGTCTTCATTTGTTCTTCATGGCCATGGGCCAAAATATTTTGTAACCTTCCTCTAGAAATTGGTTTTAATTTGTTCTTTAAAGGGAGCCATTTTCTGAGTTGTTTAACATTGATGATTTGAAGAGATCCATGACCATGTGCGTATGCTGCATACTTGCTGCAAACATCGGAAATGCCTTCATATCTTTTCTAGTTTAGATCCAAATAATATGTTGATGGCACATGAAAATTCCTTCATATAACTTATGAAACCAAATAATAAGTTCAATGTTTGTGTCTGTAGTTCAATTCAATACATTTATAAATCTGAAAAGAGGGTATAAATTCATGTAAAAGAGAAATCTGGTTTAGGATTAATATTAGGGTATTGTGTAATAGAGTGTATTAGGGTGTATTGGGGTATTTTTGGTAGTTAAATAGGGTGTATTTAGTTAATTTTATATTTTAATTAAAATATTAGGGTGTACTTAAATTATAAGATGTACTCAGTTAATTTTAAGGTTCGTTTAGCAACACTCAAATATTAATATATGTTTTTCCTTTTTATTACAAGTTAATAATACATGGACACAAGACATAAAGTTCAACAAAGAGAAATAAGATCCACTCTAATTTTGTGACTTCTTTTACTCAGTCACAACAGGATACTTTGTGACATTAACAGGGGCAGAACCAAGATCAAAGGAGTGGGCTAAATTTTATTGTTAAAAAAGGCGGGGAAAAAAAGGAGAAAATCCAAATCAGTAACCACAATACAATAACTTTAAATGGGGCTCTAGCAAGAAAGAAAAAATTAGAAGAGAGAAGATAATTAAAAAACATATGATGGGTAGACCAATATTATGGGCCTAGTTGTACTTGGGAATGTTTATCATTCAGTTGCTTTAGAGCATCTCCAACCGATATGTCAAAAGTGCCACATAGACATTTAACGGTTAGAAATAACATCTCACATCACTCCAACCGAATTGTCAAAGCTGATGTGGAATGAAGGCTAGAGGTTCAGCTGTTATTTTTGACATCCCAAAAGCAAGATGTCAAATGAATATTTTATTATTTTTTAAAGACAGCTGGTTGTAACTTTCATTTATTATTTTCCTTTTTTATTTTTTTCCTTCTTTATCTTAAATGATTTGACTATTACAATAATTATTTATTTGACATATCGGGTGGAGTAAAAAACTGTGTAAATGTCAAATTGCCACATCAGCCATCAAATTTAAATTTGATGTTTGGTATTTGACATCTCCCTTGGAGATGCTCTTAGGTTTATAGTGATGGCCTGATCTTATTTATTTATTTATTTATTTAAAAGGAGTGAGGGTCTTATCTAAAGCCCTTAAATGAGGCCCTATATCTTAATCGTTGGATCAATGCCTTTAGATAAGGTCGTCATTATAGAATGACTCAATTGTTGTAATTAGAGCTAGTCTGGATTTTGGAAATATTTTTGCTCACCACTTTAACCCACGGTGTACCATCACCACCCTTCTCAAAACTTGACACGAGTCCATTGACATAACCATAGTCATAGTTAACTCTTTGCTTTGTATTTATTGAATCATGGTTATATTAATAGACACATATCAAGTGTTAAGAAGGGTGGTGAGGGTACACATTGATTAAAGTGGTGAACAAAAATACTCCTGCTGAATGTTTTTTAAAGCTAGTTTTGATGGGCTATTAATGACAAAACCCAATAATTATAGGGAAATGACCCTCAGTGCCACCCCTTTGATAATTTTAACTAAAAATACTATCCCTTCCCAATTTTTTTATAACTATCAACTATAAATATAAAATTATTGTACCCTTATTGCTCTCCTAACACATTTTCTGAAATTTACCTCCCGCCCATCAGCTCTCCGTCGCTCAGTCTCTTCATCTTCACTCTCTGGTCACTCTGCTCTCACTCTCTCGTCTCTCAGCTCTAACTCTCTCATCTCTCGTCGCTCAGCTGTCACTCTCTCTTCTGTCTTCCTCTCCCAGCGAAATCTGTTCATCAAAGAACAACGCCATCATTCACAGCAAACAGGTACTGTTCATCGGAATTCTTTTACGGCTTAGGGTTTATGGGTTTGTTTGAAATTGGTTGACGGGGTTGTTTGAAATTGGTTTAGGGTTTGGGGGTTTCTCTGAAATTGGTTTAGTGGAATGGGTATAGGGTTTAGGGGTTTCACTAAAATTGGTTTTGCTTTAACTCTGTTTGCTAACTTAAGGGCTTGCATATTGGATATGGATAAGTTCTCTTTGTTTTTCATATTCTCTTGTGATTATTTTGAATTTCAGTTTGGGGATGAATATTCAATGTCTAAACAAAGGGCAAGGAACCATATGTGGTGTAATATGAGTTCTTTAAAAGTTTGTTGTTTTGTGCTTGATCATTGTATGCTTAAAACAAAGCGGGAAATGAGTGAAGATGGGAACATGCCACCAGCAGGTGTGGTTTAGAGAAATGGGGCCATGGATTTTGCTATAAGCTAACTCTTTAAGCTTTTGCTTGTCTTTTTTGTGTATGGATAGTTAGACAACTTTGTTTATGAGGTGAACTTTTAATTTTTTAATTGTACATGTGTAAGAAACATTTTTTACAGTTTTGATGGTTTATTTATTCATTTATCTTTGATATTGATAACACATACAATACATACAAACCTCTGATTTTGTTAAGGAAAAACTGAAGGGATGGTGCCAATTTCATTAATTTCCTTACATTTGAAAGGAGGGCATATTGGAGTCATGATTGTGGTTGCCACTAATTGATAGGATGTTCCATTACATTATACGTTGAAGTCAATAAATTGTTTCCTGATGTCTTCTTGTTGAATTGTTCTGAATTAGGCTTCTGCTACTGCACATTCCTATTGTAGCTTAAGCTGTCATGATTATCATGGTTGTCACTGCCTTCCATTAAATATCTTGACATTGCTGGAAATAAACTCACTGGACTTCTCTATAAGAACATGACTTGCAATTCTGAGCTTGCTTTTGTCAATTTAGAGTAGTTTAGAATATTACTTTTGTCAGAGAAAAAAAACATGGCCTTTCATTGCCCAACTGGTCCTATAATGAGAGTTTGTGTCATAGAAGAGCTGGTTTAAATACCAAATAATACATGTTTCGTTTTTTTGTTCTGTTTTTGGTATTGGTTTTGTTTCATTTTCTTTTATTTGAAAAAATGAAAATTAAGCAACCTTTAAACCAGTATTCTTTTTTGGTCAACCAAGGAATTAGAATTGTCAACTTCTCTTCTTTCCTGTATCCTGAAGTTTCAAAAGAAATACTCTGTTACTACATTGGTATTATTAAGCACCAACATCTCATGTAGCTTAAACTCTATGTGCTTGCTTTGTTTAGGAGCGTTATTATCTTGCTTTGAGGCTTTAATTCTTGTCACTTACAAGATTTATATGTACCTACTTTGCAGGAAAATCACTTGTTGGAATGGCAGAGGTTGAAGCAGCCATACAAGAAATGTTCCAGGCACCTCATATTCAAGTGAGTCAGATTATATCTTACAGTCATGATGAAAAATGATTTCTGTTGGTGAAACTTCTTTTATTTAAATGGTATGTTACATCTTAGAAGAGGTAATCAATACCCTTGAGTGAGGCATATGACGCAGTGATTACTACGTTAATATGCATTCCTAATATGAAATACATGAGATCCAGATAGCTACATAGTTTTTTGGTCGAGTAACAAAGATGAAAATGGTGTCAGTTGGAGTTTGCTAAATCTTATAAGTGCCATTCTTTAAAGGAGTAGCATGGTGAAAAATGGCTTTCAGGACCCAAATTATCTGATGCTGGTTTAAAGTAGTGAATTTCTGCACTAGTAGCATTCAACTCCATACAACTTTAGCTGCATAAATTGTTATTGGGTTGAAAGGAAGTTTTATTTATCTATGTTGTATCTGAAGAAAAAAAAAAAAAAAAAAAAAAATAAAAATAATAAATTCTCTACTCTCTCTTCAGAGATATATTAATGCTAATTCTTTTCTTTGTTTTTTCCTGGCAGGTGATGAAAACTTCTTCCAGGCTGAGTAAAATATTTTTGACTGCCATGGTTTATGAACTCTACAAAACAGGAATGGGGGAAACTACTTTTGAAAAGGTGAACTTCTCATGCTTTCCCCTTATTGCATAAATTTACACACCTAATTGGTTTGTCTATTTCTATCACAGATTCTAAAGTTTGTTTCATGGAACATTTCATACCAACGCTGCTGGTACCTCTGCTGGATGCATTTACTGTAAGTATGACATCTCACTCCTAGAAGATTGCTTTTCATTGTGGTGCAAGTTGATTGCATAATGACAGATAGCCACCCACAGCTGTGAAACAACTTTGCGCTAATGCAATTGTAATCTGTTGCAGAATTTGAAGAGATATTAATAGTTTAAATAAATTGGTAAGCTTTGCTTATTCTTTCATTTTTTGGGGCATAAGAATCAATATAGTATGCTATAGGTATGCATATTGTTAGCAGTTTTAGGACATACCCTAATTTGATTCCTTTTGCTGGTATTTCATTGTTCTGAGGCCGAGGCTGAGTTTGAACTATTGCATTTTGTTATATATTCCAAAACCAAAGTTATAAAAGAAAATGGTTTTCCTCTTTGTTAATTGAGAATCATCTGCAGTTATGATTTCAGATCTGTAGATAACTTGTTGTTGATGATATTGCTACACGGGAGGAGAATATAACAACTTGGAAAATGTGCAAGAAGAGAGCACTAACTCATACACCGAAGAACAAATTGATGAAGTTAAGATCAAATTAGTAGAATTTGTGAGCTCTCCATTATTTATAATTATAGGTAGGAAGTGTGTATATACTAGAGCAAAGATTGGTTGACTATGTAATAACAATTGAATTTTCAAGTTTTATGAAAGAAATAATTTTTGCTTCGCGGGACAGTATTGTTAGGGTTCGGTGACGATTTATTTTCCATGTCTAAATTGTAGTCTATAATGGATGTGTGTGTATTGTATGTAGATTGACTTAATATTGTTGTCCTATTGCATGTGTATTGTACTAATATTGCATGTGTATTGTATACATATTGCATGCATATTGCCACCGTATTGCATGCATATTGTGATGTTATTGCTGTCGTATTGCCATTATATTGCCCTAATATTGCCTCTCTAGTGTATGTATATTGCCCTAATATTGCTATTATATTGTATGTATATTGACTACGGCTTATCAATGGGTTTACGGTTTAGGCCATACTTCATTCAAAAAGAAGATGATGAGGAGAAAGAAACAACGTGCCTTTCAAAAACAGGCAGTCAGGTGCATCATAATTGCACCGTAAGACATTGTAAGAAATTATTTTAAAAAATAATAACAACTAAAAAATAATTTACAAAAAAAGGAATGTATGAATAAAGAGACAGAGAGCAAGAGAGTGAATAGGGGGAGAAAGAGACAGAACAAAGCTAGAGAGAAACAGAGAGAAAGAGAAAGAGCTGCGCTACAGAAAGAGAGCAAAGAGAGAGACACAGAGTTGCACTAGAGAGAGACAGAGAGACAGAGAGACAGAGAGCTGCAATAGACAGATACCAAAGAGAGAGCTGAGTGAGCTAAGAGAGAACAAAATTTCTAAACATGTGAAAAATCAACAATAAGTGGACAATAATTATATTTTTATAGGTGATATTGTAATACTATTGCTATCGTATTGTGGTTATATTGCTCTAATATTGCCTCTATAGTGTACATATATTGACCTAATATTGCTATTATATCGTATGTCAATGGCCATTTGGTCTAATAACAGTCTCCACTTCATTAAAAGTAATCCTGAATTCAAATCTCATAGACACGACAATTGTTATCCATCCTTATATTAGCATGAATTGATGTTGACCTTTGAAATGATAGTTGGAGTTGCACATCTATTCATATTCAAAAGGAAAGTAATTCTCTCCCTCAATGAATCTTCGTTCAAAAGAAGGCAACTATCGAATATTGGGTACAAAAATGCAAGATCCACAGTAAATTAATTAGGCACAAACCACATATTACAAAACCAGGATGATTTTTGGCATGCTTGAAAAGACAAGGGCCAAATACAACAGAAAAGAAAATTCATTCAAGCTTCTCACTAAACATGGCCCAAGCACTCGACCATGGTTTCAATCCAAACCTACCCAACAAGGGCATACCACGTGTCCATCGTAACAGAAGAGTGGCATTTACAAAGCATGACCTGCAATATGTTTCTTTTTCTCCTAAACAAAATTGTTACTAAAATGGAACAAAAGATCCCTAACATACAGCAATACAAGCAAAGATAGTCAATTGTCATACACACAAAATTAGTCCTCATCCATCCCTGCAGGCTGATCTCTCTTACTAGGGCCACCTGCTGGTTTTGCCATTATAATCTGCAAGATAGTCAAAGCACTATCAACAACCTTTTTTTAATGAAGGTATTAAACATTAAATAGGCTGCAATCAGATAGATTCATCATTTCTCACACATTTTTAGCTAGCCAGAAAACCCCCAGCATATAGATTTTCTATTTACTATCAAGCCTTCTGCACTGAAGCCATATTCATTATAAAAGTTCAACATTTCCCAAAAGTAACTTTCAATTTTATTTTATTTTTCCAAGTTAAAAACTAACATTTGCGACCGCTCATTGGAGATCAAATGAAAGATTGGCTGGATGTTTTTGTATAAACTTGCAGGCAGTTAATGGGTGAAGAACTTTCTGGTTTGAGTGCCAAAGATCTACCGAGCCTGGAAAACCAATTGGAGACAAGTTTGAAAGGTGTCCGGATGAAAAAGGTGCCTAGTCCTGATTATATAGTCTCAGTTACTACCGTCAAGATCCCTTCTTTATGTAGCACATGCATGACACTCAGTCATTTTTCTGCAGGACCATATACTAAATGATGAAATAAAAGAACTGAACCAGAAGGTTACCAAAGAAAACTGCCTCAGTTTCTCCTAGTCCATTTATGTTAATTCAAGTCCTTGGGGCCTAATTTATACCTATTTTATATCATCCTTTTTACTTATTTCAGGGAAATCTCATACAGCAAGAGAATATGGAACTGTATAAGAAGCTAGACCTTGTAGGTAAAGAGAATGCAGAACTGCTAGAGAAGGTATTGTCTAAAAGATTGTATAATACTATTAAAATATATCCCTTAAGCTCTACTCTTCTATTTAACACATTATACTTCACTAAAGGGAGGAGACAGGTGACAGGTAGAAGGAAAGAGAAAGAAGCTAAATGAGATATCACTAAGCCAAAAACATAAGGCCATTATGTTAATTATAATATAAGCAAATGTGAAGGTTTCTCCTCTGGAAAAGGCTGAAACAGAAGTTTTTAATCTCAGGTTTATGGAGCAAGGGGTGTGAATAAAGAAAACAAAAGTTCCCAACCTCCATATACCATCACTAATGGATATGATTTGCAAACACCCATCCATCTGCAGCTAAGCCAGCCACAGAATCAAACTCAGCCTCGGCTTCAGAACAATGAAATACCAGCAAAAGGAATCAAATTAGGGTATGTCCTAAAACTGCTAACAATATGCATACCTATAGCATACTATATTGATTCTTATGCCCCAAAAAATGAAAGAATAAGCAAAGCTTACCAATTTATTTAAACTATTAATATCTCTTCAAATTCTGCAACAGATTACAACTGCATTAGCGCAAAGTTGTTTCACAGCTGTGGGTGGCTATCTGTCATTATGCAGTCAACTTGCACCACAGTGAAAAGCAATCTTCTAGGAGTGAGTCATACTTACAGTAAATGCATCCAGCAGAGGTACCAGCAGCTTTGGTATGAAATGTTCCATGAAACAAACTTTAGAATCTGTGATAGAAATAGACAACTGCTCGATGGTCAGTTAAGCAGCCATCTGTTATCCTAAATATCAAAGACGGGGTTTTATAAGCTTACATTGTCATGATTTCTCCAAAATCATGTTTTATTTAATAATTGATTTTGTGGTCTTATAGACAACCTCTCAGATCAGCCACAGCCACTGATTCTAATTTAAAATACCAAACAGTGCACAAACATCTACTATAAGCTAACCCAAGATTCCCAAAGGTGAACGAAGCCCAAACGTTCTGTGACAAAATGAAGAGTTTGATTTCTGTGAACAGTGGCTGCGAGCCAGTGACAGTGGGTGTGCATTATTACCCAGTTCATAGAAACCCATAAACCCAAACCCAATTTCTGAGCAACCAAACCAATTTCTTAGAAATCCAGACACCATAAACCTTCACAAAAACCCCACATTTCAAAGAAAATGGTTATGAATAGTACCTCGTCGCTGTCAACGATGGATTTCCGCTTGGATGAACGGCGACTGTTGACGGGGAAAGAGCACTGCGTCGAAGAGAGAGAGGTACACCAGGGAGAGAGATGGGCCGAAGAGAAAGAGCGAAGACAGTGAGAGAGGGAGCCAATTTCTGAAAAACTGATATGGGTACAATAAGTGTGCAATAATTTTATATTTAAAGGTGTTAGTTGTAAAAAAATTGGGAAGGGGTGGTATTTTTAGTTAAAATTAGCAAAATGGTGGCATAGAAGGTTATTTCCCATAATTATACATGGCAAAAAAAGACTTGGGCAGAAACCTGCACTGTGCTAAAGCCCAGGGGAGCCCAAACACAATTCCGCCCTTGGTTGCTTCATTCAGAGTGGAGAAAAAGAGGTGTTCCTTTCGATGAATAGTGCTGATTTAGGCCGCCATCTATGGATAGTTTGACAAAAGCAAGCTTTCTCATTAGAATCTTGTTGAAGATTCTGCTTGTATGAATTATCCCCTCTTTCCGTCTCCCTTCTGGATGGAGCAATAATGTTGTGCATCTTTAATTTATTTTATGTTCTATAAAATTTATCAAGTTGTCTCAGGAGGCATTGACCAGGGAGACAGAGAAACAAAAATAATAATAATTTAGTATGATCTATTGCATGAGTCACGAAATTCCTACCGTAATAATGATGATCCTTATAATTTTTTTGTATTTTATTTACTAATATGCTCAAGATTCAATGAGATCATCCACGAAATTTAGCAACATATATAATGAATAAATTTTACTTCATACCAAGTAACTCTTAGTTTAGTGACATAATCATAGTTTATTATTTGCTTTAATTCAAGGTGTAACCTCGCTATCATTCTCAATATTTGATACGTATCAATAGGCATAACCATAGTTAATTCTTTGCTTCCTATTTAGTGAAACTATTGTTATACTTATGGACACGTGTCAAATATTGAGAATAGTGATGAAAATACACCTTAGGTTAAAGTGGTGAACACATTCGATTACCACAAGACATATTAAAGCACTTATTGACATCTATCAGTGAATCACTTGAAAACAAAGAAAGGGAGACACAAGGCGCTAAGCATTGACTTTTCTATATATTCCAATTGGTATTAATTAGAATAAGCTTAATATTCATAATTATATCATCCAATTGGATGCGACATTAGCGCAAGGATAAGCAATACATTAGATACAAACAACAACAGTACAAGAGGTGAATCGGCCATAAACAAAGGGAGTGAAGAAGAAAACTAAATATGTTTGCATTTACATTTCACATTGCTGATGTCTCTTAGAACTAGTCATTTAAACCGAAAAATCGATCGAACCGATAAAACCTTGCTCGTCTGGTTGTCATAAATAAAAATATGCAAACTTTACAATAGACTCCAAACTTGACTCAAAATCATTATTGTTTTTTAAACATTGACTTTTTTCTTTTCTAGTTTTTATTTCATAGCATGCAATAAAAAACCTATGAAGCCAACTCTTCTTACAAAACAAACAACAAACCAAACTTAACACTCTCTTTTCTTCCCTCTTTCTCTTGATCCATATCCTCAATGGGCAGTCTAGAACTAGAACCACCCAACTCTAACACCACCCCCAAGCCCCTATACTCCGACGCCGAAGACGATGACGTGTCTCCCATCGAACAAGTCCGTCTGACCGTGACCAACACCGACGACCCGACCCTACCCGTATGGACCTTCCGGATGTGGTTCCTGGGTCTTCTCTCATGTGCCCTCCTTTCATTTCTCAACCAATTCTTCTCCTACAGAACTGAGCCTCTCATCATCACCCAAATCACTGTCCAAGTCTCAAGCCTCCCTATTGGCCACTTCATGGCCAAAGTTCTCCCAACAAACAAATTCCACATACCCGGGTTCGGGTCCCGGTCCTTTTCTCTCAACCCGGGTCCTTTCAACATAAAAGAGCACGTCCTCATTACCATATTTGCTAATGCTGGAAGTGCTTTTGGAGTTGGCTCAGCTTATGCTGTTGGGATTGTCACCATAATCAAAGCGTTTTATGGCCGGAAGATCTCTCTTCTGGCTAGTTGGCTACTTATCATCACTACCCAGGTATATTATTTTTAATTAACTTTTTTAAAAATTTTTGTTTTTTCTGTTTTCTTTGTTTTTTGGAAGCACAAGTTCATAGAAAGTGGGTTTCTTTGGAGATGCCCAACATGGCCGATAAAAAATTAGATGGTGGTGAGATAACTTTTCCTTTTCCTTACAAAATGAACTTCATCAATATCTTGGTTTTGCTTTTGTTTTTGAAAACGAAAAGAAGATTTGAAAACACTTTTTTCTTTTTTTTCTGTTTTTTTTTAATTACTTTTTTGTTTGAATGATGAGATAAGATTATGATGGACATTTTTCCACGCATGATGGTGGCGGGTCTCTATAAGTATGTCTGGAATCATTGCAATCCCTGTCAATACAGTGTTTTGGAGTATCTCACCTTTAAAATTCATTACAGAAACAGAATACTAAATAATTGGATGACAAATAGTTTTATTTTCTAACCGCGATAAACTAAATGATTAGTTAAGATGGTACAAATAGTTTTATTCTTTAGTGCGAGATTCTTTTACCCTTTGATATGCTTTGTGGTAATTTGAGAAAATAACATGCAGGTGTTAGGATACGGATGGGCTGGGCTGTTAAGGAAGTACGTTGTTGAGCCCGCCCATATGTGGTGGCCCAACACACTCGTTCAGGTCTCGCTTTTCCGGTATGTCTCCTTTTCCTTTGCCAAACATGTCATAAGAGTTTTACCAAACCTTTTTCTTCAGATAGACGAGCAAACCATGATAAATCCAATAAAATTAAAAGTTACTTGTATATGTAAGTCTCATATGTTGTCTGTGCTGTCCATGGAAATTAGCTATTGGTATTGTTTTAGTCAACTTTATCTCTTGTTCGTTACTTTCTCCCGTAAAATTTATTCTTTGTTTCTATCTTTCTTATCACATGATAAATAACGTATGCATCCATAATAACGATGTATATGCTTCATGACAATGAGAAAAGATTCCATACACGCATTCCATAAAACGGGTATCTCACATTTATAACCATGCGCTAGTCGAATGATATAAATGTGAGGGACCCGTTATTGAGAATTTTGTACACGCAAACACGACTAACCAACAAATGCATTACTCCTGGTAAGAATTTTCAAATTTAATACTTTTCTAAGCTTGAGGTCTTGAAAAATTTGGCGTCCCTCCAATTGAAGATTGAAGCATGCATCGATGATGTGACTCTCGAATTTGTATTGATTGTTATATATCCATGGTGAACGCATCACACGCAGCCGCCTGTTACTTAGCTGCCCTTGTAGACCAGAAGTCAAAGTCATCTAGGATGAGTCAATTGGAATCTTAAATGGGCCCAGCCGGACAAGTTTTTCCATTTTCCTTTACATTGTTTTCTGGTTGTCATTAAAATGGGCAACGATAGATACAGGCATGGATATCGAAAGGAAAAAAAAATCCCAACAGCCACATGTTCTTTTCCAGCTGTTTTAAACAGCAGAAAAACTCATTCCTGTGTAGAATCAAAATGCACTTCAAACAACTTAAACTTTCTGCTTTTCCTGTATTATCATGGGGTTATAAATAGCAATAACAAAAATTAGTGTTGTCGACGAAGGACTGAGAGTAGTGGAAGGGTTCTAGCTGATAAACAGATCAGCCATGGATACCTCATTCCTTTTTCATTTTTAACTTCGTAGGGCTGAAAACCTCAGACTTCAGCAGTAGCAGAATTCATGTTGTCAACTGCAGACCTAAAAACAGTGGAAAAGTTGGTTACAAAATTCAAAATACAGATCAATGAAGAAAAAATCTTTCCTACTACTTGGTGTTTATGTGCCAAATCATTTTTTTTCGTTCCACTAATTTACTTCAGAGATAAATCATATTTATATGTTTTCTCAAGACCTTAACCAAAACATGCATAGCCTCCACATATTTCCCATGCTTTCAGTCTCAACAGACATTTCTGCTAACTTCAACCAAAGTCATTATCTGCTTAGTATTCAATACTATCTTATAAGGGCAGTCATCCATCTATACATCCCAAACCAATTGAGACATGCCAAATTCATGATAATGTAGTTCAAAATCTTCAGTTCTTAGCATCCAATATTGGATCAGTATTTACGAACATTCATTCTCATCAGACGGCTGACTACATTTTTATATTTAACTTGCAGGGCCTTGCATGAGAAAGATGAGCAACGCATGTCACGGGCAAAGTTCTTCCTAATTGCTCTAGTTTGCAGTTTTACGTGGTATGCTTTCCCAGGTTATCTCTTCACAACACTCACAAACATATCATGGGTTTGCTGGATATTCTCCAAGTCAGTTACAGCCCAGCAGATTGGCTCAGGCATGAGAGGCCTTGGAGTTGGAGCCCTGACACTTGACTGGTCAGCAGTGGCATCCTTCTTGTTCAGCCCCCTCATCTCCCCTTTTTTTGTCATCGTCAATGTTTTTGCGGGCTATGCATTGATACTCTACTTCGCAATCCCTATAGCATACTGGGGACTGGACTTGTACTCTGCACAAAGGTTTCCTATTTTTTCCTCGCACTTGTTTACAGCGCAAGGTCAAGATTACAACATAACAGCTATAGTCAATGACAAGTTTGAGTTAGATATTCCAAAGTATGAGGAGCAAGGACGGATTCACTTGAGCACCTTTTTTGCTCTCACTTATGGCTTTGGTTTTGCAACCATTGCCTCCACCCTCACACATGTAGCCTTATTCTATGGAAGGTAAAATACTGCTTATAACTTAGAGAGATGCAAAACTTCTTTATGTTCTCACATGTAAATTTTTTGACATACAACCAAGATTTTGGAGAAAGTTTATCATATAAAATTCAAGAGAACTTTACCTTTTTTCCCCCAGTTTTTCTCAATCTCTTATCACAGGTATACAGATTAAAGGAGATACAAATATGACCTTTTAAATCAACTCACAAAATAACTATTCTCCCATATCTGGTTCTTATTTTGAAATATTAAAACACATTTACATTTTGATGTACAACTAAATGGGCAGAGAGATACTTGATCGCTATCGTGCTTCTTACAAAGAAAAGGAAGATATCCATACAAGATTGATGAGAAGATACAAGGACATACCTTCCTGGTGGTTTTACATGTTGCTCATCATTACAGTTGCAGTTTCTCTTGTACTCTGTACTGTCTTGAATGATCAGGTTCAGATGCCATGGTGGGGACTCCTATTTGCTGCTGCCATGGCCTTTGTATTCACCCTTCCTGTCAGCATCATAACAGCAACAACAAACCAGGTGAGTCAGACATTTGCTGTTTTGTATTTAATTTGCAGCAAAAGATATATAAAAGTTAAACTTATCAACATATCCATGCTTTCACGTAACAACTTATCCCAAGTAGTCAAGTGGAGTTTTCCATGCAAGTTAGCCTATACCAGAGTACCAGATTCTCATTTCATGTAGTCTATAAAAACACTTGCACGATACAAAACTATATTTTAGTAGTACACAACCGTAGATAGATGTAATCAGCAGGTTCCAAATTAATCCAGCTATAACTAGATTGCCCATTACATGACATTCCTATTAAATAACTCGCCTTCTAGATCTTGTTCTTTGATGTAACCAACGGCAATAGACTAAACTAGCAAATATTAAAACACTTAGAAACATACAAGAATTATACTGGTTCGGTAGAACTTTTGCCTACGTCCAGTTGTGATTTCTCTAGGTAGAGAAATCACCGCTCCTTTGATTAATAATAGAGATTACAGAACTTTTGCAACCTTAGAACTAATCTCAAAACTCTTGGCTGTCTCTGGCTGTTTTTCCTCTTTAAAAATAAGCCTTGCCACACCCTATTTATAGATATAGAGTTGGCTTACATGTCCCAAGGCTGATTGGATTCCTATTCCTAAGGGGATTAGGAAATTACACTTATCCAAATCCTAATAGACTTCTAGAAATCCAAACTTAAATTGAATAAGGAAAACTGAAATTCTTTTCCTAATCCCTCTAGGACAAGAATTGGTATACCTCTAATTTTCCTAAAACAATCCTAAACCAACTGGAACATATTTGACGAGCCAAAATCCTAACAATCTCCACCTTGGTGAGTCAAACCAAGTCTTGATCGTTGCACCCTAGAGTATCTTTGAACCTCCTTGAAGCAGCTCTAGAAATCTTCAAGAGTCTTCACCTTGGCAATCTTCTTCTTGCCTCATTGCACCTCAAGTGAGGAGGTGCTCCACTTTAATCAATCAACGAGATTGATCAAGTTCAAGCAATGCTTGAACTTCTTGGCCGGCAATATCTTTGTAAGGAAATCTGCAGCATTGTCATCCATATGAATCTTTTCAATCCAAATCTCCTTAGACTCCACCCAATTTCTGATTCTGTGATATCTTGCTTCAATGTGCTTTGATCTTCCAGAAAAAAACTTGATTCTTTGCCAAGTGAATGGCACTTTGACTATTACACTTCAGCTTCACACAATCTTGGGTGATTCCCATTTGACTTACCAAGCCATTAAGCCAAATTGCTTCCTTTCCAGCTTCGGCCAATGCAATATACTCTGCCTCTGTGGTCGACAAAGCTGTAATTGGTTGCAGTAGTGCCCTCCAACTGATCGGTCCTCCTGCGCATGTAAACACATAACCAAAAGTTGACCTTCTCTTGTCCAAGTCCCCTGCATAATCAGCATCCACATATCCCAACACCCTTGCATTTTTTTTTGCTTCTCAAACATAATCCTTTGTCGCCAAGAACCCTTCAAATAACGCAAAATCCACTTGACTGCATCCCAATGTTGCTTTCCTGGATTTGCCATGTATCTGGAAACGACACTGATTGCTTGAGCTATGTCTGGACGTGTGCATACCATTGCATACATAAGGCAACCCACGACATTAGCATAAGGAACCTTCTCCATTACTTGCTGCTCTTCCTCGGACTTAGGACACTGTTGCCCACTTAACTTGAAGTGAGCTGCCAAAGGAGTCGAAACTACCTTTGCTTCTTGCATGTTGAACTTCTCAAGAACCTTCTAATATACTTGGCTTATGATATCCAAATCCTTTCAGCGGTCCTATCTCTCTGAATTTCCATGCCAAGGATCTTCTGTGCTGCACCTAGATCCTTCATGTCAAACTCCTTGCTCAACATCTTCTTCAAGTCTTGAATTCTAGACTTGTCTTGATAAGCGATTAGCATGTCATCCACATATAGCAATAGCAATATGATCATCCCATATTGGAACACATTATAGTACACACAACAGTCATATAAACATCTTCTAAAATTGATTTTCAGCATGAAGTAATCGAACCTCTTGTACCACTGTCTTGGAGACTGTTTCAGGCCATACAAAGACTTTTTTAGCTGACATACTAGGTTTTCTTTCCCATATTCAACAAACCTTTCTGGTTTAGCCATGAAAATTGTCTCATCTAAATCCCCATGAAGAAATGTTGTCTTCACATCCATCTGCTCAATCTTCATGCCATGCTGAGTTGCCATTGCTAAAAGTAATCTGATAGAAGTATGCTTAACTACGGGTGAAAAGATCTCATCATAATCCACCCCTTCCTTTTGTGAGTACCCTTTAGCCACGAGCCTTGCTTTGAATCTCACGGCATCTTGTTCATGTAGTCCTTCCTTTTTCCTAAATACCCATTTGCATCCAACTAGCTTTCTGTCTTTGGGCTTAGGAACCAACTCCCAAACAAAGTTCTTGTAAAGAGACTCCATTTCTTCTGTCATAGCACTTATCCAACTATCTCGCTCATCACTTGCTATAGCTTCTCGATAAGTAGTTGGATCTCCTTGACTAATGTTGAGAGCATAATTAACTTCGTCTTGGTCAAACCCAAACCTGTCAGGTTTCTTCTTGTTCCGATTAGGTTTGTCCAGTGCTATGCATCTCTGGAATGCAGGTGGATTGTTGGTTGGAGTTCGAACCCTTTGGGATGTCTGGTGGATTAGAGTCCCTTCAATCAGCCTTGTTTCTTGCTCCACCTGATTCCTAACTGGAGAACGATGTCGATGCTCTTCTTCTTCCTCAAAACCATCAGATTCGACATCTTGCTCAATTTTCTCCACCTGAGCTGCTTCTTCGTTTGAACTTATTAACGGAATCTTTGTTGGTTCAATTTCAGCATCGTCTTTCTCCCTACTGCTCTTGACTTTATTCTGAGGCATGGTTGTATCATCAAAGACAACATCTTGACTGACAACCTTTTTCCTGTTGTTGATATCCCAAAGCTTGAAACCCTTCACTCCTTTCTCAAAACCTAAGAATATGCAATGTGTGGACTTTGGTTTGAGCTTGGACCTTTCATCACTTGGAATATGTGCGTAAGCACTACAGCCAAATACCCTGAGCTTGGAATAGTCCACCGGCTTCTCAGACCATACCTCTTCTGCACTCTTAAAACCGAGAACTGTAGATGGTGATCTGTTAATCAAATAACTTGCATGATTAACAGCCTCTGCCCAAAAACTATCAGGCACTCCTGCATGAAATCGCATGCTCATCTCTCTCTCTCTCTCTCCATGAGAGTTCGGTTCATCCTCTCAGCAGCTCCATTTTGTTAGGGATTCTTCTTTACTGTGAAGTGCCTTGTGATGTCTTCTTGCTTGCAGTAATCGGTAAACTCATTACTTGTATATTCACCTCCATTGTCACTTCTCAGGTACTTGATCTTTCTTCCAGTTTGATTCTCGGTTTCTGTTTTCCATTCCTTAAACTTTGCAAAAACCTCGGATTTCTGCTTCATGAAATAAACCCAAACCTTCCTAGAAAAATCATCCATGAAAGTAACAAAATACCTAGCTCCACCATTTGATTTGGTTGGTGCAGGGCCCCAAACATCTGAGTGAATATAGCTGAGTTGCTCCTTGCTTTAGTTATCTGCACTGCTACTCGTGAATAATACCTTCCTTTGCTTTCCAAGAACACAATATTCACAAATGTCCAGTTTGCAAGATGACATGCCTTCCAACAGGCCTTGCTTGTGTAATTCTTGCAACCCTTTCTGGCTTACGTGCCCGAGCCTATGATGCCAAATTTCAGTCTTGTCTTCTATACCTTGATTTACAGAAACAGCTGCTCCCCCGACTATAGTGGTCCCAATTAACTTATACAACTTATTGGGTTTGTAGGTCACCCCGCATTACCACCAATGATCCTTTGGCTACCCTGAGTCTTCCTTTTTAGACTCGTACCCATAGTCGGCCTCATCTAAAGTACCCAAGGAAATCAAATTCTTTCTTAGTCTAGGGACATATCTAATATTCCCCAAAACTTGTATCATCCCATCAAACATTCTGATTCGAACAGTGCCGATTCCTTTTACATGACATGAAGAATTGTCCCCCATTAAAACTTCCCCACTGCTGACTTCTTTGTAAGTATCGAACCATTCTCTTACTACACACATATGAAAAGTGCATCCGGTATCCAAAATCCAATTTGTGAAAGCCTTGGAGCCTGATGTTACTGAAAGAAGCTCCCCGTCACTCTCATGCTCGGTGACTGCACTAGTTGAACCCGAGCTTCCTTCCCTCTTGGCTTTCTTCTCTTTCCAAATCTTGCAGTTCCTCTTCCAATGATCGGTTGAACCACATTCAAAGCAACCTTCCTTCTTTTCCTTTTTCTTCTTAGATTTTGACATGCCTCTGTTGCCTGTTTTCTTCCTTTGTCTTTTCCCGCCCCCTCTCCTTGCCTTTGGCATAAAGGCCTTGAAAGCTTTCGGTTATATCATCTAGTTTAGCATATGACTGAAGAGCTTGAATCACGTCTTCAAGCTTCAGGGACTCTTTTCCAAACATTAGAATTGTTCAAAAGTGCTTGAAAGACGAAGGTAGAGACCTCAGCAAGATGATAGCCATATCATCATCTTTGTAAGTTTCTTCAACCTTTTGAAGATTAGTTATGCAATTCTGAAACCTGCATACGTGATCTTCAATATCACCTCCTTCTTCCAGTCGAAGTCCGAATAGTTCATCCTTTAGAAAAAGTTTATTGGACACGGTTTTGCCCATATAAACATTCTCCAACTTTTCCCATGCTTCTTGGGCAGTCATCTTTTCGGTGATGTGTGACCGAACTGATCTTGTGAGATGGATCTCAATGGAACTCTTGGCCTTCTTGAGAAACTTGGTCCATGTTGCGTCTGTCATGCCTATTGGCTTCTCACCGCTGAGTGCATCATCCAAATCTTGCTGTATCAATACGTTCTTCATCATCCTTTGCCAATCCGTGAAGTCATCCTTGCCGTCAAAGGGCTTTAACGCAGGTCCTAAATCCGCATTCATCTTCCCTTTAGACATCGTAGAACCCCTTAACCTAGGCTCCTGATACCACTTGTTAAATAACTCGCCTTCTAGATCTTGTTCTTTGATGTAACCAACGGCAATAGACTAAACTAGCAAATATTAAAACACTTAGAAACACACAAGAATTATACTGGTTCGGCAGAACTTTTGCCTATGTCCAGTTGTGATTTCTCTAGGTAGAGAAATCACCGCTCCTTTGATTAATAATAGAGATTACAGAACTTTTGCGACCCTAGAACTAATCTCAAAACTCTTGGCTGTCTCTGGCTGTTTTTCCTCTTTAAAAATAAGCCTTGCCACACCCTATTTATAGATATAGAGTTGGCTTACATGTCCCAAGGCTGATTGGATTCCTATTCCTAAGTGGATTAGGAAATTACACTTATCCAAATCCTAATAGACTTCTAGAAATCCAAACTTAAATTGAATAAGGAAAACTGAAATTCTTTCCTAATCCCTCTAGGACAAGAATTGGTATACCTCTAATTTTCCTAAAACAATCCTAAACCAACTAGGACATATTTGACAAGCCAAAATCCTAACAATTCCTGCATTATGAATGAACAAAAATTGATACTTTCATATCTATATATCGCAGGGAACATCACTGCAAACCCTTTTTTAGAACTCTGTAAAACTCACTTACATTCTGATCCCCCTTGTACAGACACCAGGGCTAAACATAATAACAGAGTACATCATGGGAATCATATTACCAGGGAAGCCAATAGCCAATGTATGCTTCAAAACTTATGGCTACATGAGCATGGCTCAGGCAGTCTCCTTTCTGAATGATTTCAAGCTCGGACATTACATGAAGATCCCTCCAAGATCAATGTTTTTAGTTCAGGTATGTTAAAATTTCATAATATCAACATACAAAGAGATAGATTGAATAATGCTAAAGGCATAGTTGAAAACTTCTTAAATATTCTTGTGAAAGAATTGAGATTTTACTGGAAATGGTGCCTCTTAACAAATAGCAGAGAGCTGGAGTAAAGGACAACCTGGAGCGACGTATTCCAGTATATCATCACTTTACTTTTTAGAATATATCTGATGTATTTTCTTACATGTATGCCTAGTTCATCGGAACGATTCTTGCTGGAACCATCAACCTTGCAGTAGCATATTGGTTGCTGAACTCTATCACAAATATATGTGTGGATGATCCTCATTCGGATAGTCCTTGGACATGCCCAAGTGACCGAGTTTTCTTTGATGCTTCTGTGATTTGGGGTTTGGCGGGACCTAAACGTATATTTGGAACTCTTGGAATCTATGGAGCCATGAACTGGTTCTTCCTCGGAGGAGCAGTCGGACCAGTTATTGTTTGGGTACTGCATAAGGCATACCCAAAGCAAAATTGGATACGCCTGATTAATCTTCCAGTCCTTCTGGGAGCAACAGGATCGATGCCTCCAGCTACAGCATTGAACTACAATTCCTGGATTATAGTCGGAACAATTTTCAATTTTTTTGTCTTCCGTTACAGGAAGAAGTGGTGGCAGAGGTACAATTATGTCCTTTCAGCGGCACTGGATGCTGGGTTGGCTTTCATGGCAGTTTTATTGTACCTTTCAGTAGGCATGGAAAATAAAAGTGTGGCCTGGTGGGGTACAAGTGGTGAACACTGTGACTTGGCAACTTGTCCAACCGCCAAGGGCATCGTGGTTGACGGTTGTCCAGTGAACTAATATACCCGTATCTCCACTTATATGTGATTTCATTTTTAAAATTGCATAGTACAGAATTAGTAAGTATTAGAACTGAATCTGACAAAGCAGAAGAGGTTTTAGTTGTCTCATAATGAGACAAAACATGATTCATTAACTTGCTATTTTTTATACAAATGCAGAAACAATATACATAAACATGTTACCTCTGTATCAAATACATCTGTTGATTAGCAATCAAATTGAAAACGGCTACTTCAGAGGAATTTGCAGACCCCATATCTCTTTGCAAGGGAAAAAACCTATTACTTCGAGCCCTCAAAGCCATATAGAACAACTTAATCTTACTCATAGTGTATGAATAATTTCAGACTAATTTATTGATCTAGCCCACATACAAATTAACAGGGCACTCACCAAATCCTGTTCCGAATCATTGACAACCACTTGGAAGTTCAAACTTCAAACTATTTTCCAGAACCTATTAGACTCACTCACTGGGCTTGACCAAAACTAACTGCAACAACAATGCACATTAGAACGGATATGGTGGAGCCCTGTGATAATCAGTGATGGTAATGTTTTCAACTATCCAATTTTGCATTTATGTGATTATTTTCAAAAGTGGGTGCATGCAAATATCAAATTGCCAATATGAAAATGACACAGGAAGAATACTTGAATGTAATCTCAGTATTTATAGCACAAATAGAAATGTCAGAGAAAGAGGTGGTCAGGTAATTCAACAACTTTGTGGATTAACAAAAGTGTTTCACACCTTGACATGTTCATCTTGAATTTTCTGAGATCCACTGATTGTACTCGTCCATCCTTATAATAAAGGAACTAGAACTTGGCGAGCCACCTCCTCCATATGCCTTCACATGTCATGTTGCGTTATTATAAATATTAATAATGATAATGATGAAGAAGAAGAAAAAAATCAATAAAACTCAGTAGTGTATGAAAAGTAGAAAAAAAAATGTTAAAGTAGTACAAAAAGGTACGAGGTCACATTATTACTGAAGCCACACCTTCGCAACTTCAGAAGTATCAGTGGAACTATCAGTACTCCTTAAGCACATTTTTAGGTTTTTCTGCTGCATGAATATAACAGCTCCTATAGGCCTGGCATCATGAATGTAAACACTCTTAAGACAATTACAAACTTAATCCAACAAAAGATACTTGGTTCAAGTTCCTCCACCAACATTTTATAACTTGTAAACTATCATCAGTAAATGAAAAGAAAAAAAAAGAGTTAATCAAACTTTCAGGAAATGGCATATCCAAGTCAAGGAAAACATTTCAAATCGAACCATAATCCCACTACCCAAATCCTAAGCCAGGACCTTAAGAATACAAGCTTTCTGTCAGTTTTAGATTTGTAAATGAAATATGCAACTAACCAATATACATATGACAAGTTTCAAGATAGTAAATCTTGCTAAATGCTTGCTTTTCATCTCATAAATTAGATAATTTGCTAAAATTTCTTAGCATCACCTGAATAAAAATTACATGCTAGCATGATAAGAAGAAAACTCCATCTCCACTACCACCACTTTCGTTGAACTACATATTTTCATTCATCAAAATTTGACTTACTATAAATGATATAGCCTTATTTATAGGCTCAAACAGAACTACCAAATCCCAAAAACGCCTACAAATAATACTAAAAGACTCAGTAAATAATAAAAATCTTCTTTGGTAATAGATATCAGAGAACTTAAAAGAAAATGAGCTGTTCTAAGACCCGAACATGTTGACTCTTACTAAGAAAATGAGTTCTTTTTTTAAATGTCGCTCCTTCACTAAGTTTCCTCTTTGTGTTCCCTTTCCATGGTGAAAAATGTTGCTCCTTCAAATTTTCAATCCACACATTGAGTGCCTTCTTATTACCTTTAAAATATTGAGAAAAAGCTCCAACTCTATATGAAAGCTTCAAGTTTAACCATTGTACTTGAAGAAATAAGGGGAACTTGGAATGAAGAAAGAAGCGAACATTTTAGTTCTTACAACAATATGATGAAAAACAAAACAGAATGGGCTGTTGCCTAGATTGTGGTGGACTTTAGATGGTAGTAGTAAATAAAAAGGTACAGGGAAACGTTAGACTTAGACAAATTTTAAAGAAATTACTGAAATATATAGGAATGGGAGAGATAAGAGAGAAAAGTATGTAAACGAGATATATTAAGGAACAAGCTTTCAACAACACTTTTTTTGTTCACGGAAATCTAATTTTCTTTACAAAATATACCTTTACTTATAGACTTCAAATATAACTTCCAAAACCTCCTAGAGATACAAAGGACTCATTAAATAATAAAATACTCTTAGAGAACTTAGAAAGACATTGTGTTTTTCTAAGGCCCAAGATACGACTCTTAATGAAACTTAACATTAACTCTTGGATTTACCATTTGAGTTATTTACTTATTACTAGTATTTTCATTGACTGAGTCTTACACTACCATGGGTATTTCTCTTTGGACCACAAAGGCCTTCTTATTAGATGGCCAATAGGCTTTGTCTTGTGTTGTACAAGAGCATATGTCTCTTCTAAGCAAACTGTTGCTACAACCTCCATACATTTCTTGCTCTATGATCATATTACTCTTGAACAACATATTACTGGCATCAGTGGGGAAATTCTTACTCTATGAAAGCCTGAACCAAAACCTTGAAGCATCTTATTGAAAGTCATTATGGCAACTCTTATCTTGGCATAAATTTAAAGATCAAAACAGTTATATGGCTCTAAGAACCTTGCATAATTGAGGTTCATGCAATTAAAAAGATCCAGTCAACTAGCAATGTGAACTAATTTGGGGCCGGAGCATCATATAATATAATACAACTGCATGGAAGATCCATAAACAATTTTCACATTTAATTATATGGATGGGAATCTGCATGCAAATGAAGAAATCATTTTATATTAAAAGAACAAATTGTCCATGAAAATGTGAAATTGTAAATAGAGAAGCACTTTTTGTAGTTAAATTACCGTAGACCAGCAGCAGCACTTTTTACACTAAGCTGCTTGCCGATTTCATCACTTAGTGCAGAATTCCCATGAGCTCGAACTCCCTGCAATGAAAATGTCGGAATTAAATATCCACTTAGATATTTCCAACAGATTAAACTAGGGGAAAAAAAACCCAGATGCAGACGAATCAAGAAAGCAAAGTTTCTAATCACATCACATAATAAATGGCATAAAATACTTCCATGTCAAGCGGAAAATCCTACAAAACCATTATCACCGATGTAAATAGTTATAATAAAATAGCACATGGGAAATATCATTTGAAAGGGAGAGATCAATAATTTACCAGACACTCCCCATAAAATCCTCTCCCCAACCTTACTTTCAAAACATTATCCAGTAACTTATTTGCAGCTTTCTGGCGAATAGAATTATAAGTGTTTCCCTTAGTGATAGCATCCACAACACTTATATCCAGTAACTGCAACAAGGATGGTTTTAAACAAGTTACCTCACAACTGGACACAAAAACTGCAAATGAACCTATAAGTTTTTCAGGGGATGAAATAAAATAACTAAATGAACTAGATTTCCAAACCTGTTCATACATGTATGGATTAGTAACACAATTCAACTTGGAGCGCCATTCACTAAGTCCAATATTAAACGCCCTAATATCCAGTAAGCTCCACCGTCGAAGATCTCCGTCCTCGATGTACTTAAGTACCATTTCTACACGATCTCTGTCCTCAGGTTCTAATAAACTTACATCCATTCCCTAATTTCAACCAAAGAAAAATAAAAATGAATCTTAATATACCATTTATATATACCTAATTTGCAAATGAAAAGGACTCGTAATCCAACTTACATTATGATACTCACTGCCGGCCAGTATAGTGGAGAAGTAGTCATACACAGCAGTACAGCTACTCTTTTCAAGATTCACATGAAATGTGAGGTTCGTTGGACAATCTTCCTCGGAGGGTATCTGTGGAAGTACCCTTTTCCGATGATCAAAGGAAATTACCCTAACCAAATTCCAAAACAAATAATTTCCAATCATAAACAAAACCACTAGGCAACAACTACAACTCCATCACTAACACAAATGTACTTGCATTTAAAACAAATTGATCACTGCAGTGCAAAATCGAAACTTACTCGCACAAAGCTCTCCGCGCAAACTCAACTGCAAATCCATTTGGGCCGAGAAAATCAAGAAGATAGCATCTCTCCAGCCCTTCAATACACAAATCATCAATCCTGTAAAAGCAAAACAAACAAACAATTATGCTAAGGGCATGTTTGGATGCTAAGAAAATGAGAGAGAGAGAGAGAGAGAGAGAGAGAGAGAGAGAGAGAGAGAGATTGGACCTGAAGGGTTCGACGGAAGAGAAAGGCAGAGAGAGACAAGGGAGGTTGAGGCGAGAGTGAAAGAGGTGAGCGAAGAGGGCGGAGAAAGCTCCAGAGAATGAGGGGTAGTTGTAGAGAAGCAAGTTGGGTACTTTGTCTTGAGAGGCTTTGGCCAGAGCTTCTAACGCTGCGTCTGATCTGAAGCTTCGGGTTTGCAGTAGCGGAGCCATTGAGGCAAAGATGCAGGTTCTCCATCTTCCCGGAGGGGAAAGAGGCATTTGACGGCGTCGTTTCAGAGGAGAGAGTTAACTGTTAAGAGTTCAGCGACACTCGGAGCGAGAGAGTGCTCTGGCGGGACTTCTCCAAGGAAGAGATCTCCTGTCTTAACCTTGCAAAATTGAGTGACATCTAATATTAACAATATTAAGACTATTTAGAAATAATAAAAAGTCACGAGGTCTTCAATTAAGACTTTTAAATAATCTGAATAAGTCTTGTAGTATTCAATTACAGTTTGATTATAAAGCAAAATAAAATTTTTAATTTATAATCTAAATAAAATTCTGTATTTTATAAACGTAGAGGAGCCAATTCCGTAGAGGCTATATTAGTTAAATCTAGCTAAAGAAAAATAAAAATGTTCGGTGCGTAGAATTGTTGATGTTAAATTATAAATCGGGATTTTGGAGTAAACCCCAAGATACTAAAATGTAATTATTATTTATTTAAAAGGAACTTAATTATATTGTAGAATTGATATGGATAACGCCCTTTATGAGATGTGTTCAAAAGTTGTTGATAATCCCAACTTCACATATTTGCATCTGCGAATCAACTGTTTGCCATAAATGTTCTGGCTTTCTATGTTCCTGCCAAATTTACGAATGGTAAACAAAGGCCAATTGATTTGATATTGCATAAGAAATCCACTAATATGTGTTATAGGTAACAAATTCATTCTTCCTATATAAAATTTGATTTCCACAAGTCTTCTCGTCCATTAATCCCCAACTCAATGAACTTCTTATATTGATACCCAACAAAAAAGAATAGTAAAAATGTAATTATCTTATTTAGATAATTCCAAAATTTATTCAATTACTTAACTCAAGTCACTTCCTGGCCACTTGCATCTTGAAAATTAGTGTCGAGCTTAATTTCTAGCAATAGTAGATGAATGATAGATTGTAGTCTTTTTTCATGTTTTATCTTGAATAAATGTATGACTCTGGTTTTGGTCTTCTGTCTGCGTGAATATCTCAAACACGTTACAAAGATAGTAAAGAATCTGATCTCAAGTTGAAAGGATGTTTCAAAAATTAATGCATGCTCTTCTTTTTTGCATACCAGCAACATCCCACTTCAAAAAGATAATTCCCTTTTGAAAAATGGGGTTTTGGTAAAATTATTTTAGAATATAAAGGGACTTTAGTGATTTTCTATTTAGGCACAATTGTTATTTTGGTACAAAGGGACTTTAGAGAGTTCAATATAATGTACCTCTGTGGACTGGAAAAAACTAGTTGGGTATAAAATTTGGCAAAGACACACTTATGTTTTCTTTTGCATTATAAAATCCCAATTCTCAAAAATGTGCTTGGTGGAATGAAAGAGTCCAAGTCTTCAAAGTCAAGTCATCCATGCTTCCACTACGACATAATAAAAATCATGGAACAGAGCCATGGAAATTCAAAGTGACCACTTAAAGTTTGGTTTTTTCCGTTGGATAGTTGCCTCCCACCCAAACCCTACCTGAATCTCCAATTTTTTATTTTTTTTAAAAAATTATTCTACATTATAACACTTAGATTTTACTTTAAATTATCATTCAAATCAATTACATTAAATTGAATTATAAAATTCAACTCAATGACTCAAAATAATCTCCATTCAATTTGAAAAAACTAAATAAATATTATATTAAATAGTGATTGATTGTATTATATTATAATTTACATAGTTATTGCTTAAAAATAAATATATTATTATTTATTGGGCCTAGTAGGGGATGAGGATAACAATACCATTTGTGGCCCCAAACTTGGAATTTTTAAAAGGGAATTTACCATATAAGGATAAATAGGAGGGCATGAAGAAAAAATGGTACAACGCCTCCAAATAAGAACAAGCGGGTTATTATTGTTTGAGAGTGACATCCATTGATGTTCTTGGGGCAGTTCTTCTATTCCCAATGAATGCATTCAAGACTGCCTAACATACCTGGGAATCCTCTACGACTAGCCTTGTGCAAGAGCATGTAAAGGTTGGTCGGATTTGGGGAACGGAGGTACCATTGACCATACACGACTTTAATAACAGAACAAAACTTTCGCAAACATTCAAGGGCTGTAGATTCACCCAATCTACAGTACTCGTCGGTGGAGTTTGGTGAGTATCCATATGCGAGCATTCGAAAAACGGTTGTTAGCTTCTGCTATGAGGATAGACTTTGTCGTCCACAAGCGTCTATCTTCTGGGTAAAGTATGACTCATGTGCAACAATATCATTCAAGATGCGATAGAAAAGTTCTCTTCTCATGCGGAACCACCTGCGAAAGTCCACTTGGGAATTGTTGAGGCCCAAAAAAGTCCACGGTTGGGCCTAAATAAGTTTTCGGTCAAATACGCTACTATATTAAGAAAAGTCACATATCTGAGTACACGAAGGCTCGTCATATGCGAGTCACACCACACGCGCCATGCCAAATAAATAATTCGTCATGTTAGGAATCGAGATTAAGATTATAAAATGCATTATCTTTCCAAATTCATGCTAATTATCCTGTCAGGCATAATAATTGAAAGCATGCCAAGCGATATGTCATGCCAAGCGACATGCCATGCAAAGTAGGAAATCATTATTACACACTCAACCACTCTACAAGCCTAAGTGGGCCCAAGCCACTCGAATGCCTGGGGCTTGCTTGAGTGGGTTGTGGTATGGATGGTAATAAATCAATATGAGGCCCATTGATGGGTCGAGAAATGGAAAGTCTCGGATTGCTTGGGAGCCTTGAGACTCAAGCTCATTTCTTAGGCCCAAACATGTGGGTGAGCACAAGAGAGAAAAGTAGCCCAATAGCCCAAGCAAAATAACCTAACCAAAATAACCCAACCAAAATAAGCCCAATCAAAATAGCCTATTAACTCAACCAAAAAGCCCAAATGTTTTAGATAGCCCATTTGCTTGATAAACCATCTTAGCCCATACAACTACCATAATAAGCTACAAAGGCACCAGCACCTAGCTGGAGGAACAAAAGCCACGAATGGGAGGTCTGGAGGTTCATTAAACAATGCTGCCGGAGGTTACAACACATGGAGGGAGCAGATTCCAAGCAAGAAACATTCAAAGTACCAAAGAATATTAGCCTGCGAGTTGCCAGAAGCACCCTTTGAACCAGCATGTATATTCAATTCATTCCCTCATCAGACCTAGCCTTGGAAGAGGAGAGAAAAGAAGGAAAAAAGATGGCTGAAAATAGGAGTCTGAAACAGCCGCGGGAAAGGGGGCCTTGAGCTCCAAAAAATCTCTGATTTTGTGCAAATGGGCAGAGAAGATTTCACCAAAAAAGGATGATTGAAGGGATGAAGGGAGAAAGGAAGGGAAAGACTTGACAAAATGGGATGGAAACCATTAGGGTTTCTTGGAAAATGTCAGCTTCCAGCGGCTATAAATTGAGGCATTTTCTACCCAACGAAAGCAACCCACATCTAGAGAGCAAGCTTCATCTCTCACCATGAAATCTCTGCAATTTCGTGCCCTATTCCTCAATCTCCTCCCACTTTCCATTCTGCCATGCCATTCTAAAGTCTGACATAGCTTTTGTCAGGCGGCTGGAAACTTACCCAAACCACCATATACTTCACCATTAGTCATAACTCAGACCCAGAGAGCAAGCTTTCTCTCTAACTTACAAAAGCCCAGCAATCTCGTGCACTGTTCATCTTCTTTTCCATTTTGCTCTTCTGGCAGCTGCCGGAAGAACTCTGCTCTTCATTTTCCCTTTCCTAGCCAGATCTCTCACAAAAATTCTCCTTTCATACCCTAACATTTCCTTTTCCCTTAGGGCAAGCCTAAATTTTCTCTTAGTGCTAAACTCATGTTGATTTTGCTCTCATGCCACATGCCACATGCCACTCACGCTGACCATAAGAGTTTATTTGTAAGCATCAAGAAATCATCTGTAAGCAACCTTAATTTTCGTTGGTGAAGGTAACCAAAACGCTTCCTAAGGCTCTACTGCCCTTTCGAAGCGCTTTTGGGGCTTGATTTTGGAACTCATACACAAGGGGCAATTTCAGCAATTTCCCTTTTACGGCGGCCCAGCCCATTTGCAGCTGTCGGAAGAAAAAGGCCCCTACAGGAATAAAGTGGTTTTTCACAGAAGTAGTCCTCCATGAGATTCTTATGATGTTTTTCTCTTCTTGTATTCACGGCCTGCAACAGAACCACCATATTTGGATTGTTGAGCATATTGCTCCAACAAAAACGTATGGTGTTGAACAGTCATTGCAACCCTTTGTTGATGAAGGTCATCATCATCAAAATCATCATTGAAGAAATTTTGTATAGCCTTCCCACGTGAATTCATTGTAAGAAGAAGAATTGAAGGAGATTGTGTGGTCAATTTAATAGAATAACACTTCTTAAATAGACAGGAGAATGAGATAACCTACATGTTTGAAAATAATTGAATGAAGATAGGAAAAGATAAGGGAATCCAATAAAGTGAGATGAACAAGGATAAGCAATGGTTCAGAACGTGATTGAAACAAGATAAGATGGGAAATGGTTAAAAAAAAATTTAATGAACATAAGAAAAGATAGGGAAAGATAAGGGAATCCAATAAAGTGAGATGGACAAAGTTGAGCAATGATTCAGAACATAATTGAAACAAGACAATAGGGAATGTGAAAGGGTTCATAAAATAATTGAAGAAGACAAATGGAGGTGGGCAAAAGTTCAGAACATTATTGAATGAGGATAAAGGAATCCAATAAAGTAAAAGTAAAAATGGAAGAAAATTATGGCAATGGCTTCAATGAAGGTTTCGAATTATTCCGGGCATACATATGGTGTTGTACTTGTTTTTATTTTTAAGTGAAATTCTATTATGTTTTGGAATTTTAATTTTTTTAGGTTAAAATATTTAGAAAATTAAATCACGAGTATTGAAACAAAAATAATGTCAAGAAAAATTAACAAGAAAAAAAAATTAGGGGTTAATCATTTTTAAACAATTTAATAAAGTTGCAGACTCAAATTATGAGCCTGCAAGGTTGGAGGAAAAAAAATTTTGAGTCTTGAAAATACATGAATAGTTATATTTTGAAAAGTAGAACTTTGAGTTTAGCCCTAAGCACTTCCAGCAGTTGGAATCTTGCCATGGCAAGGGGGGGCTAGGGGGGACACTATTCACAGGAATAGTGTCTGCCCTTGCAAAAAGTAAGTTCCACTTCCAGCAGTTGCCATGGCAAGGGGGGGTACTATTCAATTTTTTGTTTTTTTCACAAATTTGTTTACCTAAACAATTAATTTGGACAATATATTCGGATGAGATTTTCTGATAAAATATTCGGATAAGATTTTCAGATAAATTTTTTTTTCAAATTTCAGATAAATTTTTTTTTCAAATTTCAGATTTTCAAATTTAATGCTTTGGTTGTGGTTAGTTTTTTTTATAAATTGAATTTTTTGAATAAAAAGGAATTTTATTTAATAGTTTCTTTGGTAACTCAAAGAAAACTAATACTACTAATACAATAAAATACATGACTTCCAACTAATTTTTAAAACAAATCATTAAAATACAATGAAATGAAAAGGCAAGCAAACTAACTTAAGGGTTTTCATCATTTAACCAATCCGTATTGCTAGGTCCATCATCACGAAAAAGTTTTCGTCTCATAATAGCCTTTCGTTCTAGCTTCCAATATTGTTTTGTTTCAGGAGACATGTGGCTTGTATCCATGGCCATGGTTTCCCGATCCTTCCTTTCTTCATTTTCTTTGCGTCGATACTCCCTTTCTTTGCGTACATACTCCCTTTCTTTAGCAAATTCTATTGCCATTGCCCTATCATCTTCTTGGACTTTCTTGTCTATTTCAATTCTCAAGGCGCTTTGCCTTGCAATTTCCTCTAAAAATTTAGAGGTATTACTCGTAGAATTAACTCCTCTCTTTGCCTTTGCCGCCTTCCTCCCCATAGGCCTCGGCTCCTTTTGAATGGGTAAGTCTTCACTCATAGGGGATTCCATAGGCGAATCCGAAGCTTGTGAATCATGAAGTGGCGTCTCGTTTAACACCACCGTTGGAGCCGTTGGAATAATGCTAAATCTTTTACAATGCTTCACCACCTCCCAACATTGGGTATGGGTGAAACTTTTTTTCCCTACTCCAGTAGCACCATAGAACATTTGAGCTTGCACAATCTATATAAAAAAAAATTGAATAAGCAAGGAACTTAAAAAAAAATTGGTAATGCAAAAAAGATAAACATATGAATGAAAATCCAAGAAATATTAACAACATATAAAGAATGCAAGAAACATTCAAATAAATATTAGAAATACAAGAAATATAAAAAAATAATATAAAAATTGCAAGAAACATTCAAATAAATATGGAAATACAAGAAATATTAAAAACATATAGAGAATGCAACAACCATTTATATAAATATTAGAAATACAAGAAATATAAACAAAATATAAAGAATGCAAGAAACATTTAAATACATATGGAAATACAAGAAATATTAACAAAATATACCAATTGCAAGAAACATTAAAATTAAAATTAATAGGACATTAAAATTAATAAAATGAAAATTACAAGTAATTACCTCATCGCTTAGATTTTCCCCGCTTGCATGGTTATTCATCGCTTTTGTGAGGGCATCTCTCCATTTCCCCAACTCTTTGTTGAGAAGTTTCCACCGACTTGACAATGCGCTTTCCGTACGGGTGGAACCCGATCTTTCAACAAATTCGTGAAGAATTTTTTTCCACATTTGACTGAATTTCATCTCATTACCCGATATGGGATCATGACTAATTTGGATCCAACACTCACACAACAAGACATCTTCCATGACGCTCCATGCCCCTCCGGTTTCTTGAGAAAAAGCCATAATGATAGAGAAAAATTATACTTAAAAATGAAAACAATTTAGAGTAAAAAGTGAAGAAAATATTAAATAGAAAGTGAAAAATAGTTGGAGAAGGAGAAGATGTATGAGAATTTGTTGTTAAAACTGAAGAGTAGGTGTTGGTATTTATAGAAAAAAGTCAGTATTTTTTGGGATTTTTTTTAAAATTTTTACGATTTTTTTTCATCATTTTTTGCCTGGAAAAATTCCAGGCCGTCGGATTGGCTGACAAGGCGAAATCGGAAGGACAAGAGGCTGCCACGTCGCACGTTACCGTTGGGCGCAAAAGCTGACGCGCGATTTTGAATTTTTTTAACGTTGGCGCGTGCAATGCACGCGCCAACGGTAAAAAAATTTTACAACCGCGTGCTGACGTCACGCTGGCATAAGCGATGACGTCAGCTCGCACTCGGGCTCTCGCTCGGGCTGCCTTCGCCTTGGGGCCAGCCCAGGCAAGTGGACCCCACACTGCCCGGGCCAGCCTTTGTTGCTGGAACTTGCATTTGGGCCCTCCCCACCCCCAGCCCGAGGGGGGTGCTGGAAATGGCATAAGAGCACTTCCACCAGTTAGCCCCTTGCCATGGCAAGGGGAGCCCTAGGGCGGGTACTATTCACGTGAATAGTGGCTGCCCTAGGGCAAAAAAAAATTTGTGTTTCCAGCAATGCAAGGCTTGCCATGGCAAATACTATTCATTTTTTTTGTTTTTTTCACAACTTTGTTTACTTCAACAATTAATTTGTATAATATTTTCGGATAAGATTTTTGGGTTCCTACGTATGAAAAATCATTTTCTCAAGATTTTTAGCGGAGGTGCAATATTGACTAAGTATGAAAAATGGTTTTTCAAAATAATCATTTTCTCAAGAAAATTTTTGGCGGCTTTTATTCCTTACACATCAAATAAGAAAACTTGATTTTATGGGATTTTAATATGAAGTATATATTGACTTAATTAGCCATCATTTTTAGCCTAAATCGTATTTTGCACTAAAAACGATTTTTCATATTTTGATTTGGTGGGAATTTGATTTTCTAGTATTTTTATTTGAATCCAAATGGGGGGTACTTCCTTATTTACATTGTAAACTTAAGTAAATGGAGTAATATAAAAATAAATAAAAGTAAAAGGACAAAGACATTTACTTAAATGTTGAAAATGGAAATAAGGTATAGAGAGAAAAAAAAATAAATAAATAAAGAAGAAGTAATTTTTTGGTATTTTTTTCAATTTTTTATTACAAAAAAATTGGCTGCTGGTGTTAAAAGTGAAGAGTAAAAAATTTCAGTATTTTTGGGTATTTTTTTCGATTTTTTTCATTTTTTTATTGGACAAAAAAAGCACTGTAGCAGGTACTGTAGCGGGCACTGTAGCACGCTGACGTCAGATTGCCCGGGCTGGCACTCGGGCCAGCCTCCCCTTCGGGCCAGCCCAGGTAGCTGGGCCCCACTCCTTGCCCTGGCAGCTTTGTGTTGCTGGAAACAGCATTTTCCCCCCCCCCCCCCCCCCCCCCCCAGCCCTCCCGCCTCCTGCTTGGAAATGCTCTAACATAATTGGAAATGATCTAATGGTTAGTTAAAGAAAGATAAATTAGTCTACCGAAGTTTTGGAATGGTTAACGAAAAAACTCTTACCTTTCCAAGTTTCGTGTAATCTATAATCTACTTACAGAGAAAACAAAAACTAAATATACCATAGGCGGCCAATGCGGCAGTAGCTGCACTACAGTAGAATGTGGACTCGAAAACCGATGTGTCCTTGTTCCTGCATCCGTACACTAACTTGTACCCGTTTGGGGCCCAAGCTTCATGAACCCACCGTCTTACATTACGCATCCCCAACCCAATCAGCAGTTTCCATACGTATACTGACGCGTAACCTGAAATGACGAAAATACCACCCTCATCTCCCAACCGAACCAATCAACTCCCGGGCACACCAGAAACCCTATGAATCCGGCTGCACACAATTAATCTACCTCCTCACGACCCCACAGCTCCTGAGATATTTTCTTCTCTCTCCACGACACGAACCAAAAAAATCATTATTTTTATGTATAAAAATTTGCAACGCTTGCTTTCGTTCCTTTCGGTTTCTTCCGGATTCGAGTTCTTTCTGATAAACCAGATCGTCGTCTTCTCCTTCACTTGAATTGAGGTTTTTGATTCTTCACTCTTCGTTCTCGCTACTGCGATGTCTCAAAGAGCAGCAAATGAAATTTCCATGGCTTCGTTTCCACGCTCACAGGTACCGAAGACGATGAACGACCACACTTCTATACACCTATACATTCATACATATATATATATATATATACATATAAATACATTTAGTTATGTAAGGGGCATTGTTTATCTGAATATTGTATGGTGCTGTTTCTGTATATACTGAAAGTATTTCCTCTGGTTTGGTGATCGTTTTTCAAAATTTATATGTTTCTTTTCTTTTTTGTTGATTGACAGTAGAGTTTCTGGCTGGGATGAGTATTTGGCGTTAATGGTTTTTGTTTGATCAGTGAGGTTGATGGGCTGCATTGGATTATAATTAGTATGACAGGTAATGAATTACTGCTAAGCACTAATACGTTTAATTGGCTGCCAATCAACTATTATGTTGCCCATAGGTTGCTTTATTATACAATTGATTGATATATTTGAAGGATTATAATGTTTTTGGGTCGTAATTTTTCGGTAGAGTAATGGTTGTATGTATATTTGTATGTGTATGTATGCTAATATTATGTTGCTAGACTAAGATAGTGACCACCAATGACCACACATTCAGATGATAATCAATGATGATGTAATAATGGGCTAGTTAAGTGGTTAAGTAAGAACATCTATAGACAGTTAAGATGCAACTAAATGGGTTCGCATCTCTGGCATCGGTAGCAGCTAGTCCAGAATAGAGGTGCTATTGTTTGGACTTATTATATCTTCTTCCAAGGGACATATAGATAGGTATGGAGCTTATAAGTTTTAGATTGAGCATAAAATTTCAACTTTAGAAGTTGGCCATGATTTAAATTTTGATAAAACATATTAATGTGTTGATTATAATGATGAGCCACTGGATTTCTTGTGGGTTTGTGTTTTTTTTAAAACATATGTTCCATTGGAAAGGATACGCTAAACCTTCAATTAGTGGATTAGATTAATCTTTACTGTGTAATACAGTATAATTTATCTTCACAGAGGGAGAGGGGAGGGATGGCGTTTTGATTTGAATGTAACTTTTTTATGGACGTACTGTTCACAGTTGTTGTGGTTTCTTTCTTTATTTGAAATAGGAGTTTGTGTTTCTTACAGAAAATATTTGGAAGTATTAGTTTATGCCTACCAAATCCCCAGGGAAAAGCTGAAAAAGAAAGTACATTGTGGTGTTGCCTAGTAAAATGTCTATGTGCAACTAATCTCTGTGAAGAATTTAGGATCATTGGTATGTGTTGCATCTACCAATTGAAAATTATGTTTCTGGATTAATAGATTGGATGACAAATTGTCCAGGCTCTGGTATCAAATTACTCACCAACTTCTGCACTTAGTTAAGCCAATAACTCATCCTTGTGTGTTCAGTGTATCAAATGTAGAAGTAATAATGTGATGTTGCACTTTTTATCTAAGAATAAGATCATAGATCTTGCTTTACATGAGTATACATGTATAACTAAAGCAAATTATGAATTCACTAATATGCCTCTTTACATATATACATATGTATACCTGATTAGCATATTAGTTACAATTTCTCAAATGCATAAGTATGGACTAAGTTTCAAAGAAGAGGTGTTTAGAAGTAATGACAATTGTAAGTGGTTAATTTCCTTAGAGAATATGTTCAGGCATAGCATGTAAAGTGAATTTAAAGAAGGAATGCAGCCATCTCAACCGGGAGATTTTCATGGAAATGCTTATTCATTTTTCAAAAGAAATGGAGGGACTGGAAATTGGTTTGCATCGCTTCTTAAATCTAAAAGATTTATCAAGGCACAACAATGATGAATACCGTACATTATCATTCATAAAAAAAAATACTATACATTATCAATACATAACAAGATGATTTACCCAGGGAAAGTATTTTTCTAAGAGTAAATTGTGGCTATTGTCCCTCAACTATTACCTGATTCTCATTTTGGTCTCCCAATTAAGCTTTCGAATTCTTTAGTCTTCTGGCATTCGCTTGTGTCACTTTGGTCCTTCTATCAAAGTCCGTTTGCTTTGCTTTCAAAATTTTGGGGTAAAATTTGTCCGCCCACATTGTATATAATTTCTTAATTTCTCACCTCCCATTTTGTTCTCCTATTTGATCCCAAATTGAAGATGTAATTCACTTCATCCCAAATTGAAACTTCAGCTTCAGTTTTGGATAAAACAGAAGAAAAGTGGAGGGTGAAAGGTTGGGTAATTATATATATGGTGGGAGGAGACGTTTTAGCCCTTTAAAATGACAGAAAAACTAACAGACTTTTACAGAAGAGCCAAAGTGATATAATGTTAAAAGTTTGAGGACTATAAAATTCAAAAACTGAATTGAGAGACCAAAGTGAAAACCGGGTAATAGTTCAAGGACTTTAGGTACAATTTACCCCTTGTTCTAATATTAGTCATTAAGAAGCTTTTTTATCCCAACAAATTTATGAGATGCTATTACATTGAGGAGGCAAATCATGAATTTGAGTAGAAAGGGTTTGCTGATTTGAAAATATTAAAATAGTTTCTTTTTCCTTAAGTTTAGTCCCTTGCAATAATCACATTCGGATTCAGGTAGTCTGTTATGCTTGTCAATTTGCTTTATTTGCCTCATTATTTTTTTTGGGTTTACAAGTTTTCCTCGTTCTAGAGGTTTCTAAATATATCTTTATGATCATATGTCATATGGCTCTACATGTTCACTATTTTATCATATACTAAGTGTTTTGAAGGGTATATTGGAGTTAACAGAGGTTTTTTCATTCCTTTTAGTGTAGTTCATCTGGATTAAAGTTTTTTTTTATTTGAGAGTGTATATTGGATATGTACTTCTCGTTCATCCTTCTTGTATTTTTCTTCCATTTTTGTTAAGAGATCTGGGTTTCTCATAAAAAAAAAGTATGAATGACTATGCTATGACTTATTCGGGGTATATTTGGAATTTTCAAGCAATTTAATAGAAGTGTGGAATGCACTAGTCTTTGCGAGTGTTGGGCTTAAATGAGTGTATATGGTAGAAATTAAGTGCAACAACATTGATTAAAGTTTCAGCACAGTTGAGAATCTTGGGTTAGCTTATAGTAGATGTTTGTGCACTGTTTGGTATTTTAAATTAGAATCAGTGGTTGTGGCTTATCTGAGAGGTTGTCTACCACAAAATCAATTATTAATAAAGCATGATTTAGGAGAAATCATGACAATGTAAGCATATAAAACCCCATCTTTGATATTCAGGATAACAGATGGCTGCTTAACTGACCATCGAGCATTTTGCCAAACAAGAAAAAACGAAAAGACCATAAAGCATTGCCTTTTCGAATCAGAACTGTACTTTTTAAGCTAAGTCAATTTTACCAGCATATGTCGAACAATTACTAGCTCATTTTCTGATGCTGCTGTTGTTTTTTCATTGCAACTTTTAGTCATTCACACACGACGGACTGGTAGCAGCGAGGGGTATTCCTCTTTGAAATCCTGGGCCTCCAAAAAAGTGAATCTTAGTAGCAGCAATAAATCTTGAGAAGAGCATTTTACTGTTTAAAGTATTAGCATGATTGCCTTCTAAGTCATTAAATATGCACTAATTACAAGTAATAGTTGAAGATTTTGTAGTAAAAATCTCATTAAAACTTTTGGTAGTCCTGTTTTAGATCCTTTACTAGTACAGTGACGAATACTAGGAATGGTTTTATTGTGGAAAAATTCATTGAACCAACAAACTACTATTTGGAGATTTGCTTTCTGGAATGACAGCAAATTTAGCAGCTTTCACGAAAGCAGTGAATTATCCTATTCGTTAGCTACGGTACCTGATACTGAACATATTGCTGCAGGAGATAGGAATCTTCCATGATGTTTGGAATGTCCGTGGATAGGTCTTTCCTCTTATCAATTTTCATTGCATATACACACAACGCACTATACATTGGGAGTTATGAGAGAGTGCATTATAGAACCCTTTAGGCACTGTTAATGCATTTAAGATCTCACATCTACAGGATTCTGGCGGTTTTTTTGTTTTCCCCATTCTGTGCCTAATTAGTGATAATATAAATCAAAGTTAAATTTGTCTGCTACATGTGCTGGACATTGTGTCGACCAAACATGCCTACATGTGGTTTTTTGTACTGTCTGTGTGATCATGATACAAAATGTGCATTTAGTGCTCACATTCTCATTGGGGTATCTCCTAATATGTACAGACCAATTTTATGTAGTTTTGGGTGTTCAACTTCTCGGGGTTCCAAGAGCCAGAAATTTTGGCTTTTGTCACCGCACTTTCGAATGTGCTAGAACAGAGAGGAAATCCTTTTTTCTTTTTCTTTCTCTCCATTTTTCAGAATGAATACAAAGTTTATATGAGTGATCATCATTTACTGTTAATCTCACCAATCTGTCTCTGTAATTAACTCAACTACATAATAATAATAATAATAATAATTTGTGAATAATTCTCAAAATCATATTTACAAAATGTAGTTGGTATATCAGTGTGTCCTAGATATAAGAATGAAAGGAAAACTTAACACATGCTGCTTTCTCATCCGTTCTGCATGTTACTCTCTTAGTGTGAATCTGTGGTTTACTAGTTTCAGCAGATTGTTTATCTGTACTTATCAAATCCTTTGAGTAGATGATCATCTGAAATAGTTAAAACAAATGATTGGGTTGTTAACTACTTTTTCTTAATGAAAAATATTTGTTTTTTCCGTACATATGTGAAATCATCAGCTAGAAGAAAAAATAAATAAAAAGATAGGGATAGAGGGGCACATAAACTGTAACAAGCATGCTCGGTTCTTGTAGAATTCTCGTTATATTCTTAAAAGTATCTTCCATGATATGATGCTGTATCTCCATATTTCTTATGCAACTCTTTTTCCAACAGACTCTTCATTGAACTATTCATAAAGCAACAAATTTTTTGACAGTTATCCTGTTCGAGTTGCTGATTATTATTCAGGAAAAGAAAATATAGTTACAACAATTGACAATTGTTCTCTGATTGATCACAACACATTTTTAATACAGATAAAAATACTTCTGACACACAATGCTTTCCCCTTATTGCATAAATTTACACACCTAATTGGTTTGTCTATTTCTATCACAGATTCTAAAGTTTGTTTCATGGAACATTTCATACCAAAGCTGCTGGTACCTCTGCTGGATGCATTTACTGTAAGTATGACATCTCACTCCTAGAAGATTGCTTTTCACTGTGGTGCAAGTTGACTGCATAATGACAGATAGCCACCCACACCTGTGAAACAACTTTGCGCTAATGCAGTTGTAATCTGTTGCAGAATTTGAGGAGATATTAATAATTTTAATAAAATAGTAAGCTTTGCTTATTCTTTCATTTTTTGGGGCATAAGAATCAATATAGTATGCTATAGGTATACATATTGTTAGCAGTTTTAGGACATACCCTAATTTGATTCCTTTTGCTGGTATTTCATTGTGCTGAGGCCGAGGCTGAGTTTGATTCTGTGGCTGGCTTAGCTGCAGATGGATGGGTGTTTGCAAATCATATCCATTAGTGATGGTATATGGAGGTTGGGAACTTTTGTTTTCTTTATTCACACCCCTTGCTCCATAAACCTGAGATTAAAAACTTCTGTTTCAGCCTTTTCCAGAGAAGAAACCTTCACATTTGCTTTATTATAATTAACATAATGGCCTTATGTTTTTGGCTTAGTGATATCTTATTTAGCTTGTCTCTCTTTCCTTCCACCTGTCACCTGTTTCCTCCCTTTAGTGAAGTATAATATGTGTTAAATAGAAGAGTAGAGCTTAAGGGATATATTTTATTAGTATTATACAGTCTTTTAGACAATACCTTCTGTAGCAGTTCCGTATTCTCTTTACCTACGAGGTCTAGCTTCTTATACAGTTCCATATTCTCTTGCTCTATGAGATTTCCCTGAAATAAGTAAAAGGAAAGATATAAAATAGGTATAAATTAGGCCCCAAGAACATGAATTAACATAAATGGACTAGGAGAAACTGAGGCAGTTTTCTTTGGTAACCTTCTGGTTCAGTTCTTTTATTTCATCATTTAATATCTGGTCCTGCAGAAAAATGACTGAGTGTCATGCATGTGCTACATAAAGAAGGGATCTTGACAGTATTAACTGAGACTATATAATCAGGACTAGGGCACCTTTTTCATCCGGACACCTTTCAAACTTGTCTCCAGTTGGTTTTCCAGGCTCTGTAGATCTTTGGCACTCAAACCAGAAAGTTCTTCACCCATCAACTGCCTGCAAGTTTATACAGAAACATCCAGCCAATCTTTCATTTGATCTCCAATGACTAATTTCCAAGCCATAGATACAGATCTTCAATTTCAAAGTATTTTCTAATATGCTGTTTGACTGTTATGTGAATTATGAGAAGTAAAAGATTAAATACCATCCTAGGCAGTCTTATATGTGAAAAAAAAGAAGTTACTCTTAAATCTGTGTCTCTAGGATTCTGAAAGTGTCATGGAGATGCTCTGTCATCGCCATTTTTGGGTGTTGAAAAGGAATGTTAGGATTTTTGAAGTAAAAATGTAGAAAGGGGGTAGATTTCTTGTGGGATAGAATGCATTATTTGGCGTCATTGTGGACTTTAGTTTCTAAAGAGTTTAGTGACATTTCATTTTTTCTTTTATGCAGATTGGGGCGCTGGATGTTAGTGATAGCTTGAATGGACTTCTTGTGCACTGCTAGTGTATTTCCTTAAGTAATGCTAATTGATTGTTCTGTTTCTTATATAGAAGAAAAAAGAAAAACCTATTTTCTTTACCTCTTCTTCAATGTCAATAGGTTTTGTGGGCTTTATCTTTGATAGTTGGATGAAGCCTAAATTAGGATGATAACCTTTTGAATAAGCAAACTGATAGGAAATTTTATTATGCATTTCAACATTTTGGTACGTCCTATCAAATTGCTAAGCTATGTGGAAGATTCATTATAGAGCAATGACTGTACCTGTGGCATTCTTGTAAGTACTGCAATTGTTGCCTCAAGCTTGCTGCCTCCCTTTGCCAAAACTAGCAAGTACAAAACCAAAAAGTATTTTTAGACGAGCATGAAATGAGTAGCAGAACGTAGTTCAAAATGTTAGAGAATACTATATCCCAGGAATTTGAAGCATGCACTAAAATTTAATATCTTGGCCTTCTTCACTCATCCCTAATTGATTTTGGGTGGGTTGTTCTAACTTCTAACATTGTATACAAAACATTCATCCACGTTTTGGGCTCATTTTGGTTGTGTGTGCTTTATAAATTGACAGTTAACTTGAAATCAGGAAAGACATGGACTAAATAACAGTAAACTTGACAGTTAGGCGGATTGTAACTTTATTGTTGTGTATCACAACAAATACCCTTAAAATCAGGAATGAGATCAACTAGGGAGGAGTAGTTGCTCCGATTCCAATTCCTTGATCTAAGTTCCTTCCTCGATTCTAGCTTCCCCCATTCCTGGTAAGTATGCATGCCATAAAAGGAGATTGATTCCTAATAGCAAACAGTCCCTCACCCCTATAAAAAGGCTACTAGGCTAGTGCCTCTAGGTATGTGATTAAAAATACTGAAACCCTGTTAGTTGTTGTTAGCACAATTTCTTAATTTGTACATGGAAGGGTCTTTAGCCTACACAAGTTGGTGTCACTCCTTTTGTTTCTTTACTCTTGCAGGGTTTTCTCGGCTACCATACTTGGCCATTCCAAGTAAGTGAAAAGATTCATTAAGTTCCTGTCCTGGAAGCTATGTTATTTTTTATCTGCATCAGCAATATATAACATTCTGAAAAACATCCATGACCAAGTAAGAGCCCCATCCACATATGAACTTCGTAACTGGGAAAGTGTGGTTACCCAACATCAATTACCAGTTCCCACTTATGTTCACATCTTCACAATGAATCCTAGCTCACAACTAGTTGTCACTCAACAAGGGGTCATCTGGGGAAACTAAAGAATCCAAACTAACTGTGGTCTCAGGATACCATGGTACACTCTTGTCCATGAATAGCTATCCTAATTGAACTATAGAATCTGATACCATTGGTTGATCGCTGAAAGTTTGTAATGACTTATGCCAGTGTCAAACTCATAAGCAAAGAAACCTTGACAACATGATCTGGACACCACTTGATCGCTTAAAGTTTGTAATGATCTATTGGTCCTGAGCCGAACCATGTGTATCAATTCCTGAATTGGATTTCCTAACTGCCTGGGACTTAACACTTGTTGGATGTGGATTTGAGCATATCTTTTAGTTGCTATCAACTTGCCCTGTAACTAATTTAAGTTTAAATATTTTTAGCAATTTTCTGAATCAGTTTTTATAATTGTACCAAGTACCAAGTTTAAGTTTTTCAGTTACCTATTGTTCTTTGGTTCTCACAGTGGAGGTTTCTTAACAATATCTTCTGGTTGGTCTTGAATTGTGGTTGTGGACAGATATATGGGATACTTCAAACCATGCTTTGGTTTTTGTTTTGTTGTTCTAGTTGGGTCTAATTAGGGATCACCTTGTCCCTATATTGTAATTTTCTTTCCTATTCAATGAATACCTTGTTTTCTATCAAGAAACAATTGCAATATTTCATCATCATAGTTGAAATGATGACATTCGGAGTACTCAATGAACAAACTTTTAATTGACACAGCATGCTGATGCATCTGCAGATATGTAGACATGTGATGCCTTCTCAAGTTCAAGGTCCAACTATAAATGATGATTTTTAATTGAGCAATGGTATAGAGAGTTAGACGCTCACTATATTACACACTGAATGGTGGTTTGGATATCTAACAGCAGATCATGGATTATTGAATTAAATAAAAGAGTTGTTGGTGACTGGTCACCGTTTAATTGATTTAATGGAAAGTGGAAGTTGAGGGGAACAAGTATCTGTGGACTGTAGAGAACCTGCAGAATGGCATCAAGAATAACCTTGTAATTGACCATGGTTATCAGTTGAGGGAACATTTGGTTTATGCCTACAATGTTACATTACTTTAGTTTAGATTCGGTTGTAAAGAATAGTTTTGCAGGGAAACCTAGGAGGCTAAGCTTTTTTAGATGCATGTTAATGTAAGTGCATGAGCCTACAGTTAAACATAAATTGTGTGAAGGAAGCTTAAAACTAGGCAAGTAGCTTGTAAGACATTGCATTTAGTTGTTCAGCAGCTCACTTGAACAACAATTAACCGAATAGCACTTGAATGTAAGCACTAAGCAGAAAGTAGGAAGAGTGGCGTCTCTTTTAGCTTAATGATGGCAGAAAACAGATATAGCATTTGGGGTTCATCCCTTCACATATAGAAAGGATTGCAATTGATTTCTAATGAGCTATTTGGATAAGCTTCATGACTAGTTGAGGAATTGTATCTCATCAGTTTCTCATAAATTATAGGAGGCTTCAGGCATAGGTTTTGTTGAGTTATTTGGTTGGGTGAGTGCACACTTGCAGGATTCAAATTTTTGTATAGATTATGATGTCATTGATATACTCTGCCTAACTAGTGACAAAGTGATAGTTAGGGATATCTTGTTTTTGTTTGGCTATGGAGAATTATGTCATCTACGTCCATGTGAATTCTCATTGAACAGCTCTGTAATCTGGTCATAGATGTTTCTTATCGGCTCCTAGAGGAAGAACCAAGTATAAAATAAGGATCTTATTGACCTTTGTTAATGTACTCTAACTTGTGGCCTAACATTGCATCAGAAAATGTTCTGTCCCATTGAGTAAGTTGTACTTATTCTGACTTATCTCTTTTTTCTTGTGATACTTGGATTTTATGGGCATCTCATTCATCCTACTTGTATAATTTCTAATATAGATTTGTTGCATATATTTGAAAATAAAAAAAGTAAGCAAGAGCAAGTGCAAAGAAGACTTGTAGGGCATCAATTATAGATCATATGCTTAGAGATAAAAAAATTTCATTTCTTTTACCCACGCATTATAAAATTTGTATCTTCCTTATGTTACATACACGTGCATGATCGCATGCCTGCAAACACACACACACAAATGCAAAGATTGGAGTAATTCTCAAAATTCTCTAGCTTATGGCCATGACTTGAAATAAATTTACATGCATGTGTGCACAATATGAATTGTTTTGGGCGCCATTCAGGTGCATCTCATACTTCTAGCTATGGCCTCTTATATTTAACACGTGAATGTTTTTAATTTCTTGTTTGATCTCACATGTGCATCTTCTGCGGGCCCTAATGGTCAGCTGTTTTGCTTATTTAAGCTTACCTAAATGTGGTGACTACTGTTTGGTTAGAGTTGTTAAGAGCAGGTGACTCTATCATTCTACTGATGGAACAGCAAGAACGCTAACCAATGGCTCACTCTTAGCTGAAATTCAAGGATGTTACCTGCCGCATATAGAGCAATTGATAACAACATTTCACTGTTTGGTAAGTTTTTCAGAAGTGCCACAATGTTGTTTAGTAAATTTCAATTACTCACTCTCTTTGCTGTAATCTAATAGCTCTCACCTTTTTCTCTTCATCTTAATCCCTGAATATTCATGCATACAGAAATCGCTTGCCCACTTCATGTCTGTCACCATTTGGTTCCAGCATAAAAAGATTTTTCATTCTTCACTTGTTTCTTCAATTTGGTTGCGCATCACTAAAGAAATTCTCTTGGGATGTGTTGCTTTACATTTCCAGAATCCATATGTTGGCACAACTGGAAATTGAATTATGCCTTCCACCGTACTGCAGTCCTAGCCTAAAGTTTGTTGTTGGATCAATACATGAACTTCTTTCTTGTTGTTTCAGAATTCTGACTCCCGGAAAACTTTGGTTAATTAAATTTCAGGCTGGTAGTACTGCACTATCTATCATCTTAGGAATAAAAGGCCCTCCAATTGGAATTAAGTTGGAATAGTCTGGAATTGCTTGTTATTCCAGACAAACGAACTATTATTCAATGGAATTATGCTGAAGCTTGTGCTTGGAATTCATGGTGCCATCAAAGCTTCACCACCAACATGCTTTCTCTTAAACTTTTGTGCTATTCCAGACAAACGAGCTATTATTCAATGGAATTATGCTGAAGCTTGTGCTTGGAATTCATGGTGCCATCAAAGCTTCAGCACCAACGTACTTTCTCTTAAACTTTTGTTCTTTTCTTCTGCAAATGCAAACAAATGGGCATTAGCTCAAGGTGTTGCCTTATTGCAAATGGAATATTGTACAGAAGATCAGTTTACGCTCCTCTTGGGATAGCATCTACATTTTCCCTTTATCTACTATCCCTAGAAGACCGACTTCGTCTTTAACTTCACACGTTCGTGTTTGTATTGATTCCACCATGACTTCATGCTGGTGTATTTTTGACCTAGAGCAAGACTGTTAAATGGTTTAGGTACTAAGGGTATTTTAGATCAAGATTGAACCCTGTCATTCTGGCTGTGTTCTTTTGAAGAGTGGTTGAGATATGGCTAGTTCTCTTCTGATAAGGAAAAAATTCTAGGCTTGATCGCTAAGGCATTTTTTTAATTAGAATTATTACCAGTACCAAATTTTTGCTTCTGATGGAAGTTTAGAATTGCAATTTCAACATAGTGCTGTAATTGCTGCCATTTTCTAGAACTTGAACAAGTTGTTTGAAACTCCTCCGTTAACTTTGAACTTAAATTATGTAAACTAGATGAGAAATAAGCTTTGTCAAAGCAGTCTATTGATCTCGAAATCATTAGGTAAACTTATCTCCCTCTACACCTCTTCTGCACAAAGCTTTTTGAACTACTTTTCATACAGGATTTCTCACTGCGCAACAATGCTACCAACATCTTCCAAAGATTGTGTCCAACAAGATTGGGTGCTAGGTTCTATGAAAAGAGTGAAAGAAAATTGGTATTGGGTCTCAGATGTTACATTTGGCATAAAATTAGTCTGAGTTTTCATATAAGAATGCAAGAATGGAGAAAAGATTATGATTTTCAATAAACTGAAGTTCATGAATTGTCTTCTGGATTGAATTTGAACTCAACATCCCACTCTGATCAAAAGATTACCATTTGACTTCCGTCGTTCATCACTATGTGGGGCATTCCAGATTGCACTGGTCTTTTGTTGATGAAATTTCCCAAGGTGGTAGTTGGCCGGATGGAATTCTTGGATACTACAACCCTATCTTAATCACACCACTAGAAAATAGCTGACGAACAGGTTCAAAAAACACAGAGATGAACAATTTATATATTGTTCCTTTATTTGAAAGCATTGCATGTATCACTACTTTTTCATTTTCCCTCCCCGTTGCATTGTAGTGTGGGAGCATGACAATCCAAGTTCAAATAACATTTTCTAGATCTCCACTTGTTTTTGCTATTTTAACCTCTATATCAGAACCTAACTTCAAAGACAGCGTCATGAAATAAGATTGGACTATGATTTTAATGTTCCAATTATCTTAACCAAACACAAGGTTTTGATTGTTTGCGAACTTGTTCAGA